CAGGCTCTTGTCTGCCTCATAATCCACGTCTTTAGGGTTGCTTGCAGGTGGTATGTCTTGGGCTGGACGACGTTTGGGTTTCCCTGGTTCTCCTCTAATTGAGATTTTGCTGCAATTTTGGCCGCCTTGTCTGCTGCTTCATTGCCCCATATGCCTATATGGGCCGGGATCCATCTTATCTCGACCTGGATTCCATGGTTCTGATGGTTCTGTAGCTTGTCTATTAGGGCGACTACTTCGATAGCTATGTATGCGCCTGATCTGCCGGTTGGGTGCTGGAGTGCTTGACCTGTCAGGACGCCGCCTGGTCTTCGCTAACCACGTGCTAACACGTGATTCGTGACACTGGATTTCATTTGACAGGATTTCATTCGCTTGGCCAAGCACGTGACGAGACTTGGCATTGGAACAACTTAAATAACTTCGCTCCTTTCAGATTCTCTTCTCTCTTTAGTTTGATTTCTTCGTACCTACGGTTTTAGTTCTAGCAATTGATTCAAAAGCTGTATACACTTTATCCTTTGTTGGCATCCGTGACACTTACTAAGTAAAGGGGGGTTTTAGGGGGGGTGTCACGAATCACGTAAGCATGTGACAAGTGAAGACCAGGCGGCGTCCTGACAGGTCGAGCACTATCATATCTCTTATAGCAAATAGGGATGCTTAGACTAGCTAAGCGATCCAGGGATTTCATTACATTGTAATCACGTGACCATTTGCATCGCCAGTATCGACAGGCGATGTAGGCGACGGCGGAACATGAAGGTTCTATATAAGACTGGCACGTCTGCCATTAGATAGGAGCTTCGTGCTCAACTTAGTTATCAATCTTATCATATTAGTTTGACATCTTTGATACAAGTAACGAGTTCACTTCCAAGTGAACAACCCGATAGTCTTCTTCTTATCATAGCATACCAACCAGCGAACACCCAGCCAAGTTTAGTTAGCCAGTTTGAGTATTCGTTACACTATAGTATACCTAGGTATTATTCTAACTACTCCGACCAGGTAGTACCTATAACTAGGTACTAGGTACTACTTAAATACCAAGTAAGAAACTTAAAAATTCGACTTTTTTTTTTTATAAAGGGAGCTCGAAGGGGGGATTTTTAAAGGATAACTAAAATAAAATTATTTATAGCTAACGCTATAGTACTAGAAATACTATCCCTTCTAGAGTATCGAGGGTACTGAAAAAACGTGCACTGAAGAGTAGATAAAGTGGATACGATAACTAGGTCGAATTAAGGCTCAAATGCTTGGAAACATAGGCTAGTTAGTTAAACGATTTCATTTTACGGAGAAAATGTTACAAAAGTAGACATTTTACTCCACTTTGCGTGCACGTTTTTTTAACACCCTCGATACTCTAGAAGGGATAATACGTCGAGGGTATATATAAATAAGTATTCTTAGTATTCTAAGAGAGTTTTGAGATTTTTTAAAAATTTATATTTCTAAAGTTCCCGCCGGGGCACTGTAGAGTACGCGGGGGTCTATAACCTATAGACGGGAGTCCATGTCTTATGGACCGGGGGTCCATAGTGTTATAGACTCCCGTGCTCCCACTGGGACTGCGAAGACATGTACTGGGACTCCCTTTGAATGTTACACGCAAATCATTTAGAGTGATATAAAGGTAGTTATGAGAAGAAAGTGTCCGTTATTACTTTACACCTCTTCTGAATTTCTTGTTAGTAGCTTAAAAATTTCGTATTATTGGTCTTCTAAGAACAAACTGTCTACATTATCTGTTTTCCCCTGCTCCTCTTGATCTCGCATCTACACAAGTATTCTAACTGACATAAACGCTATCATCAACCCATTCTCTACCACTCTATCTCTACCATTACTTCCCACCCATTAACATCCCCTTCAAAACCTCACATCATCCCCTACAACTCCTTAACCATAATCCAATCACTCTGCACAACACCCCCCATAACAAACCCATGCTCCCCCACCTTCCTAAACCCCCTCCTCCCATACATCCCCTGGGCCCTGCAATTCTCCTCCCAAACCCCCAACCACACACTCTTAAACCCCTTCTGCCTCGCAACCTCCTCAATAGCATCCATCAACCTCCTGCCCACTCCTCTTCCATGCCATTTCTAATCAACATACAGCCTCTGTAACTCGACTAGCTTTTCTATACCCGCAAGACAGGGCTCGGTCGTATCATCGGTTAGCTGGACGAAGCCGATGATGGTGTCAGGCGAGGAGATGGGGTGTGCGACGAGGGTTGTTATACGGGGGTTGGTGAGGGTGAGGGTGATGGTGGGGATGTTGTAGGTGGTTGTGAGGTAGGTTGTTAGGTCGGAGGGGGGGAGGGAGTAGCTGAAGGTTTTTGTAAAGGTGTTGGTTCCTAGGGCGCTGATTTGGGAGGCGTCTAGGGAGGTTGCTGGGCGGAGGTGGATTTGTTCGTGGGGGGAGGAGAGGGTNGCTGAAGGTTTTTGTAAAGGTGTTGGTTCCTAGGGCGCTGATTTGGGAGGCGTCTAGGGAGGTTGCTGGGCGGAGGTGGATTTGTTCGTGGGGGGAGGAGAGGGTGGGTGAGGGCATGGTTGATTCTGAAGTGATTGTATGGTTATTTGAAGGCATTATATAAGAGGATTTTAAGAGATGAGATTACTTTTCAAGTCTATGGAATTATCTTATTGTGAGATATGAGACGAAGAACGGGATTTGTAAGTTATAAATGAAATGGCAGTCCATAGTATGGCTTCAGATGAACGGTATGACTCATATATGCACAGAATCTTCTTGCGCCTTCATACAAGCTCTTAGATTCCAATTGTTTATGAGTCGAGGTTTGTGATAGTATGAAATGTGCTTTCTGAACTTCTTGATGACGGAGTCCGGTACTCGGATAAGGAACACGGAATAGATGGAGGGAGGAGTTTCATTGGCTGGATCCCTAGAGCTAATGCTGCGATTGTCACGGGAAAGGCGTGACTACTCCATTTTGGCGTGTACAAGTACCCAACTAACCAAATTGGTGAACCCTGCTCTCTTGTATAGATAACTCCCAAAAGATGGTTCCAAAGACTCACTCATGTGAAGCCATTTGGAATCATTCACTTGATCCCATTCACCCGAGTTTAGTATATAACCGCTTCAATCATCGTCGAACCCTACAATACAAAGATAAATCTCCCAAAAGAAAAAACAACTCCAAAATCATAATGAGCCTCAGAATACAACCACCAAAATGGTCTACCTCCGCGCATCCCACGCAGACCTCACCCCCCCAGAACTCTACAACTTCATCCTTACCAACCCCCTCGGCATCCTCACAACCGCAATCCCATCCCAGCACCACTCCACCATCCAAAGCAGCCACATCCCCTAGGTCCTCGACCTCCCACCCGTACCAAAAGATGAATCTACAACCCCATCCCCCGCCAAACTACGCGGGCACATCGCCCGCGCAAACCCTCAAACAAAACCCATCATCGAAGCCGCAACAGCAGCCTTTTTAAATATCCTGACCGACGAGGTGATGGTGATATTCAATGGCCCCGTCCGCCATTAGGTCACGCCCAAGTTTTATGTTGAGACGAAACCGGACACCGGCAAGGTGGTGCCGACGTGGAATTACTCGGCGGTGCAGGTTTATGGGACGGCGAGGGTGTTTTTTGATGCGTCGGCTAAAGAAACTGAGGAGTTCCTTGCGAAGCAACTTGATGATATGTCAAGACAGAATGAGTAGAGGGCATTCGGGTTTACGGGTATGGAGGGGGCGGAGAAGGCTTGGGATGTTGGGGAGGCGCCGGAGAGTTATGTGAAGTTGTTGAAGAAGGGGATTATTGGGGTTGAGATTGAGATTAGGAGTATAGGGGGGAAGCATAAGATGAGTCAGGAGTTGAGTGAGAGGGATCGGAAGGGGGTGATTGATAGGTTTACTAAGATTGGTACGGATGAGGCGTTGAAATTGGCGTCTATTGTGAAGGAAAGAGGTGAGCTTAAGGATTTGAAGAAGGGATGAGTAATTTATTATTCTTGAATTCTACGCTTGCCTAAAATACTGTATCATGCTGCCTTGAATTTCCAGCCTTCGCTTAATCATAAAGGATCTCACCCCACTGCCTCATCTCGCTTGTTCCTGGCCAAGTCAAGGAGTTCCCTAAGCTGTGGGTGGCATGGGCATATGAACCAACCACTTCACCTCAGCAACACTGTTAAGCTCCACAATACAAAGCTCCCGATACCTATTCTGAACAATCAGCTAAGGAACCGTCTCACCAAACCCCGTCCTTGGGTGGTCTCCATCTGACTTTGAGCAGATACTTCGCGCTCCTGATCGACTCCTGGACCCCAAAGCGGGTGGACTGAGACGAAACCAAAGACTTTCTTCAGGATTATTGTGTTGGGGTTGTTGATGCGGTTCAATTCATCTTCCATATTCGGTTCCGAAAGGTCGACGATTTTGATGAGTCCAATTCAGGGGAGCAAGCAAATTATCAGCAATCCCGAGACCCAATTGTCATAGGGGGGAAAAGCTACGAGATCTTGGGTTTAACCAAATCACCAACTTGCCAGTCGACTTTGACAGTCTTCCCCGCTTTCTGTTGCTCAATGTCCACACTCACTACCACCGCGGTTTGCTTGGACTGTTGATAAAAACCACATACATACATTCGAAACCCCACTTTATCACATATCGTATCCCGCAACCATTGTTCTGAGTGGAAGATGCAGGATCTGTTTGAGACTTTGATGATGACTTTATTGCCATTCTTCGTATACTTCTTGCAGGAGAGAAGCTCAAGTGACATTACCGCAAAATCCGGATTTTGCAAGGAGTGCAGAACCGGGGGTATATCGCTGAGGAGATAGTGAAGAGAGGATCTTTTGTTAATGAGGAGTTTTTGGGGGTAGGACATGTGTAGTTTATACTTCACAAGGATGGAAGAAAGGCGGGAGAGGGAATACTCTGTTAGTTGAAAGGAGGCAAACAGGTGTTGGCAGTAACAGGTCTTGATGCCACGGATATGCAAACGTATAAAGAAGAGTACGGTTGGCAGCTACGTGTGAAATGTTCCATATGCTGTGTATAGAATTATTGTTTGGCTATTCCGTCTACATATTTCAAACAACCAGTACTGACCATCCTGTACTTGCGGCATAGTACATATCCCTTCGCAGTCCACAACCGATGACGCGACTCATGATCATCGTGGACGGGAAGATTTCCAGGAAAGGAGTGAGGTGTATAGAAGAAACTTCTATAGTTCCATCCACTCTAAACACATCGCTGTCTCTCTACTGTAAACATCCACTGTGGATATAATTTTCGGATAGTTAAGTAATTAATAGCTTACTATGGTCTCCTTCTATTCTTGAAATATCCCGTACCTAACTTGCTAAGTAGCTGTAATTAAAAGACATAGAATATTCACTGCAGGAGCTCGCTATGGTAAGCCTCAGACTGAATAACCTATGAATACTATGGGTGGTTGATTAACTTGTATGATCTTATGTTTTTCCTCTCAGACTAAGCAATGTCTAACAGTCTTGCGGGGAATTTGAGAATACCTTTGCTGGGAAGGAAATGACAAGGTTAGATTTTCCCCTTTTAATTTATCTAATGTTTTAGGGTCTAACGGTACTTTAAGGAAATAGTGTCAAATGAAAGATTTTCTAATGGAAAGTCTCGCGACACAGAGGTGATCAACCAGAAAATTTTACTTTGTAGTAAACCATCGCTTTTTTTTGGCAGTCATTCAATATATTTCTAGAAAGTAGAACTAGGCAAAATAGTAAAGACTTTCTTTGGGGAGGATTGGAACTGAATTATAAGAGAAGCTCTATATTATACGTGACTTATATCTACTAAACTCCCAGAAGAAGAAGTTCCCGTACGAGTTGTTTACATTTGTGTATATATATATAAGTTAGTCTAGAACTAAAAATACAATAAACCCAGAAGAAAGAAGACACAGACACCAAGATAACCAAAATAGTCTAACGTTACCTCAAACCCCCCTTCCCTAATTCCTCTCAGATCCCCTTAATATCCTCCCCCAAATCACTCAACCCATCATCCCATCCCATCCCCCCCAAAATACCCCGGCCCATAACTCGTAAGAATCTGTTCCCCAAAAACAATATCCCTCGCCGCCTGCACTATAATCCTCATCTTGCCACCATATGGAAACTGATACATCCTCGCCGAGACCTCCTCCTCCTTATCCGTATGATTCATAAACCTCGTCCAATTGCCCGCCAACCCCCCACTGAGGAGACGAATCTTCTCCGCATCTGGATGAAAGAAGTCGCGCGATGGGCCCTCCCAACCCATAAGGAAGGTGTCGTCACCACACGTATCTTCTTCTTCTTGCAACGGGACGAAGGTCCCGCAGTACTCCCCGATGATCTCGCCCTCGGGGATATTTTGCAGCGCGCGTACACCACGGTTGATGTCGAAGGAGGACCCGGTGTAGGAGGGGTATTGGTAGACTTCTACTAGGGGTTCGAGTTCCCATGGTTTGCCGCCGTATTTGGAGCACGTACATACGGACTGCTCATCCCACGCAGTATACACTGTCCGTCCCTTGACATACTCGCCAAAAACCGCGCTTTTCCCACAATGCTCACAAGCCGGCCAGTTTGCATCCTGACCCTCCCTCATGGCAGCATACTGCGGATGTCGAGGGTATCCCCACCCACTTGGCCAATTTTTTAACCGTGATTGTCGCCGGAAGCGATCCTCTACATATCTATTCTCAAAGACATTGACCATTTCCTTCTCCCCCGTTGCATCGCTGGGCGTGAAGTTGCAGCGTGCAGGTTGGCCCCTATCAGTGAGGTAAATAAGGTGCGGATGCCAATTCACACTCTGTTCCTCTCTATTCGTAAGCGGGTGTTCATTCAACCGTCCCAGAGACCTGAGAAATCGGTTGCGCCCATGAGCTCGATAGCCTCTAACGTACGGAACGTTCCGAGCTATGGCGAACATACGGAGACTTGTTTTCTCTGCGTTGACGAGTAACATTAGGTTGTACCATTGGGTGCGCTGTGCGGTTCGGAATGCGTTCTCAAAGGGCTCCGAGTGCATCGCCATTGCCATAACTTCGTTGCCGATTTGGCCTACCGCTGTACGGTAGCGTGTTTGGAGGTCGGCATTCCAGTTGACTATGTCTGAGTAGGGGTCTTTCCATTTGTAGGTTCCTGGGTAGCGTTGCAGGAGTTGGCCTTGGTCTTGGAGGTCTTGAAAGATTTCCTTGATGGTACCTGCGGCCTGAGCCAATGGCTCGATATTGGAAGTTATACCCAGTTGTACAGTACTTTGCCGATTGAGATATTCATTTTGGAAGTTGAATATCATAGTGCTCCAAAGTTCAAGGATTTTTCAACAAAGACCAGAGTGATATCTTTGTGCAAAATGCTAAAATAAGCACCCGCTTTCTAATCCTCAAGAATCCGGATATGGCTGAATGAAAATGAAATAATAGAACCAGAAACACAAAGAAAACATTCCCATGAGGAAAATATTGGGCACTACCCATCGCTATGAAAACCTGAATTGTCTAGTACTACAGAAATCTTGCTGGACACCTATCCCAACCATAAAAGCACCCCAACGCTATACCCAAAAACGCTGTGAACTCCCCATGCATTTTCCGTGAAACCCATTTTCGCTCAATTTTGAATCATTCCTCTTCACTCTCATCACTTTCATTACCTGAATTCAGAGCCTGTTCCAGTTCTGCCTCCAGCTCATCAACATCCAAGTCCATAGGTTCCTCATCTCTCATGCCCGCATTATTGGCAGGACTAGGTAGCTTCAAAGGATCCACATCGTGATTCCGCTCATCTTCATATTCTTCTCCTTCAGCATCACTATCCTCTTCACTCGCTTCGCTCTCCTCTCTCCGGAATACAGGCGTAGATTGATATTGAAATGACTGTGAAGGTGGACCATCCGGATATTCTACCGTAAGACCATCGTCTGATTCCTCCTCCCCTTCCTCGTCCGGCGTAGGCGCCCTCGGCGGTGGTTTGGGCTTCGTGACTTTCTCTGCCTTCTTCCTTTTGGGTGCTTCGGCCTTTGCAGCCGCAGCCTTCGTCGCTTTCGTGGGTTTCTTCTTCGGCGCGGGTGCCGCCTTGGATTTTGGCAGATCTATTTGGGTGTATTGCTCCCGCAAATCCGCTGCATCGGCCCACGGCGCAGAGACAAGGTTCATATCGAACGTAGAGTCCACTCGGTGCAGCATGAAATGCTTCTTGATCGGGTCGAATATCAGCACGTATTTGCCATCGCTGGATGTTCGTGCGCCGTTGTATATGTATTGGTCTGAGCCGTCTCTGTAGGATAGATCGTAATTAGTGGGGTCGTTGTCTGAGGGATCGAGATGCATCGAGTTAGAAGAGGGAGTGGTTTCTGATTTGTGGTTATCTGGCGTCTTGTCAGTATTTCTTCTTCGTGGATTGCGATAACAGGTTTGCATACATCGAACTCCCGTATAAACCTCCTTCGTTGTCTTCCCCAGTAGGGCATCGCTCAGGACAATGGGGTATTTGCCCGGAGCATCGATGTCAAATCCCATGGCAGCCATGATGAACGCGGAGATGTTCCACGATTTCACGAGGTTAAATCAAGTTCACAATCTGGTGGATAGATTCGAAGTTCAGGAAGGGTGGAACAAAGGAGAGGGCGTGCAGTCTGTAAGACGAGGCTGAGAGTGTTCAGTAAGCACCAGCGCCTGAACCATTGTCTCTCGGCCCCACAAATTTCCCCCAGATTTCGGATCATCTGTGTCCACAACACACAACACATCCAACAGCTTCACTCCAACAACCTCACCCTCAACTACACTGACTTTCCAACTCTCTCTTCTTTCACTTTACTACGTACTACTATTGAAATTTTCAGATTTTACATTCTTTCGGTAATCTGTCTCCACCCATTTCTGCCACTCTCGATTCTCGTATCAACAAGTCGCTTAGGGCCCTTTTGGCTCAGATGATCATCAGTAGAATATACCCCATTTGGTAGGGGTATTTATCTAGTTTAATCGAGTGCACATTGCAGAGTATATTCGAATTGGATACTGTATGGCTCGAATGCAGTTCTACTAGTTTGCTTCAGAGTACACAGAAATTAAGTCGGTGTAGTGGTGGTGAGATGTTTTGTGGTTAGTAATGTTCATCTCCAACTAATTAGGATTAAGTACTAGTAGTCTTGAAGTAATCTTTTTCTGGATGTTGAGATTAATCACCTCTGGTGGATAGCACCACCAAGCTGAGCCTGTAAACATGAATAATGAAGATATACACTTACTTTAGCGTCATACTTACTTCCGCCAACCTTAAGCGACAGCGCGAAGGAAAGACGCACTAGCTATTATATCGCAAACTCTTCCTTTCATCATAACGACAGAAACTTTGAAGGAATGAGTGTCATTTATTTCCACTAAGCCATCCCAAGAAATTCTCTGTGGATGTAGTGTCACTTGTATTCACCTCGGCATCCACTGTCTCCAAGGACATCTAGAATTTGACTAATCGTACATACAATCACTTTCTACTTCCAAGTCTGACACTTCTACAACGATAGCAGACGTATCTCTCCCAAAGATGCTCATTGACACTTCCCATTGAGTCCACATAGGTTGGTGCAGTATTTTGCGATGGTATCGAAACCGGTACCCGAGGTACACGCCTGTGGATTGGAATTGGCGACGCAGGCTTGTTCGCAGTTGAAGCAACACTGATTAGAGATTCGTTAGCATGAGGATTCTTTTTATGAGGAATTAGAACGAATGGCGTTACGGACATCGCCATAATCATCTGCGACGGAAGTAGCAATAAGAGCTAGAATGATTGTAGTGAGCGAGAATTGCATGTTGCCGTGGTGGTGGTTGGGAATCGTGATGATTTTATCAGTGAGTATTTATAATTCGAAGGGCGGTGATTGATATTGAATAATCGGAAGCTTCTCTTATGTCCTTCGAGGAGGAATGAATCGATAGTTGTACAGATATTTTCTGGTTGTGGGGGTGTCTTTCTACTTATTTATACATCAAACAGCATGTTAAACAATAGGACTAGAGCGGAATGTACAAGGTTGATTGCAATTACCGAATTTCATATTTGCCACAGATGTAATGTATTCGCAGGCCTAAACTTTACTTCTGTTACAATGACGACGCTTGTCTCTTCACCGGGTTTTTAGTATATGAGTAGGGGTGTGAAAATCACATTTGGAAGGTGTGTATGTTTGAGAAATAAGCAGTTTACAGTGCAGAAGTCCTTTGGGACAATTGATAGCGCGGTAGATAAAGATAATACTATATTCACAAAGCTTTCTAGTGAACCTCGCAGAGAGGTATCCCTGGCTTCCGAGCAAATATTAACTTTGTTTCTTCTAGTTCCTGCGTAATCATTTAATTAATTAATTCATTAATTAACAATTAAATTCAATTTAGTCATTTGGTTTTGACGATATTGTGTATTCTGAGTGCCCATTCGTGCAAGGTTATGTACAGTAACCTTGCACTAGCTACACTACAGTATCTGTCTATGTACCAAGCCAAGTACCCTTAGGTTAACACAACAACACCAGACAACATGAAATGGAAAAATTCCATACCTCAAATCATCCATCGCAGTTTGAACCAATCCAAAGTAAACGCTCGTGTGGTAAGCAACCTTTATATTACCCTGGACACATATTAAGAACCCATTGTTCTAAAATTCCTTATAACGCTCGGCAGATAGAACTATATTCCATAGAATTCTAGGTGGAATATTCCATAAAGAATACTTGTAGAGTATCTTTGAAATAGAATAGAATACTTCTATCGATTAGTCTCTAGAATTCTAGGAGTTCCATAGAATTCCAGAGGCCCTTTTAACTAATTAAAAAGTAGTAAATAGGGGTCGTTTTTAAGTGAATCAAGAGATTTAAGTGAACAGTATATTACCTAGGTAGTACAACAATTGACTACTTGTACCTAAATAATTAAACGACTGTAAATTTACAGACTGCTTTACGTGACATATCTCAGGTAGGTAGTCTTGAGCCGAATGGGGGCTTCCTATTGGTTGATCGGACCAGGGGGCGACCTTTTTCCGGGTCATGTGATAACTTCCATCTGAAAATTCTATAAATTCCGTGGAATATATGCCTCCGAAATGGAATAATTCTAGTAAAATCTTAAAAGGGTTGGAATTGTTCCAGAGGGGGGTCTGGAATTGAAAGGAGTTCCAGTTGCCGAGCGTTGATTCCTTATACAAGTACACATTATACAATTAACTTTATTACTTGAAATGACTTGGTCATTATAGACATTTTACTTTTTCAATTATCCCAAGTCGCTCTTATAAATATCTCGCAGTTCAACACTTTAATAAGAATGTTCTTCTACCCTAGATGTATCCAGAGTATCAACGGCCTCTCTTATTTCAGGATCGACAATGGACACATAAGCTTAACGGAAGAAATCACCCTCTCTAATCAAGATTCATTGACGAAAGGCAAATTCGCTCCAAATTTCATACCCGATGATCACAAACTCAGAATTTCAGGCCCGGAAAGCCGTCACGTCGGAATCGTGCCCTTTCAAAGAATATTTCCCGCCTGGAAAGTCTCTACCGACATCCACGCCATTCAGCCGGAATGAGTAGCTCCGCTTCTTCAAATGTCCATCACCATCATACCTATCCACCTCGATCTTAGACACTCGCACTTTCATCCCAAGCTGTATGGAAAAAATAATGAAGTGAGACTTCTCAACTACTCACACTTTCCAGCCTCTGTACCTCCTTCAAAAAGTCGTACAAGTTAAGTATCCTGTCCTTCCCCGGTTTCAAACAAATCCATCAAGTCGATCCATCCATCCATCGCATCTCCGGAACTTTCTCTCCTTGACCCGCAAGCGCTCCCGAGCTCCCAGCTCTAAATCCAGGACTTCCGCGGTCCCACCAAGCAGAAAACTCCCCTCACCCCATGTCGTCGTGTCACCCGGCAGCTGAGCGCATCCAGGGTAACGGGAAGACACATTTCTGATCAGAAGGTCCCGTGAAGTTTCACATCGTACCCTGCTTGAATATCTGTACCCCAGTTTTTCCCCGCAATGCAGGTCCGGGAAATAAACTGATGGATTTGTTGTGGCAATGCTACTCGAGTACGTATTGTTTTTTCGGTTATGGGGGATATAAGGAACCCATGTTCGGTTCCCCGGAGTTTTGTTTTCTTTCTTTTCTTAATTCAGCATTCTTGTTTGCAATTCTCTTTAGGAAGATTATTTTGTTTGGGTCCTCGAAGATGTATTTGGGCAATTTGTTTCTAGTGGCTAGCACAGCCGTCCTTGCTGTTGCCGCGCCCTCGCTAGAAAAGAGCAAGCGAGCGAAGAAATTCCAATGGTTCGGTGTCAACGAGTCTGGTGCTGAGTTTGGAAATGCTGCTCTGCCAGGACAATTGAACAAAGACTATGTTTGGCCTCCAACGTGAGTGTCCATTTGCGAAATCCACCAAGTCCTCTCGGCTAATCCAAATACTAGATCAACAATCGACACTCTAGTTGGAAAAGGAATGAACATATTCCGTAAGCCCATCAACCCCCCTCTGAGTTTCTTTCCCAGGAGATGAAGCTAACGCACCCGTTTGTAGGCGTCCCAATAATGATGGAACGTCTCATCCCAAACAGTCTCACGGGCACCACAAACGCAACATACAAAGACCCCATGGTTCAATACCTCAACTACATCACCTCCAAGGGAGCGTACGCCATCCTCGATCCCCACAACTTCGGCCGGTACTATGGAAACATCATATCCGACTACGCGGGCTTCAAAGCATGGTGGAAAACCGCCGCAACGCTCTTCAAAGACAACGACAAGATAATCTTCGACTGCAACAACGAACCCCACGACATGGGCTCTGTCAGCACCAGCCAACTAATGCAAGCCTGCATCGACGGGGTGCGCGCCAGCGGCGCAACAAAACAATACATCTTCGTCGAAGGAACAAGTTGGAGCGGCGCCTGGACATGGTACGTAACCCCCTCTCCCATCACATCCCATCCTCAAAACCTAACAACCCCAGGGTCTCCTCCGGCAACGGCGCCGACCTCCTAAACCTCAAAGACCCCCAAGACAAACTAATCTACGAAATGCACCAATACCTGGATACCGACGGCTCGGGAACATCAGAGACCTGCGTCAGCTCCACCATCGGATCCGAACGTCTCGCCGCCGCGACCGCCTGGCTGAAGAGCAACAAGAAAAAGGCGATCCTGGGCGAGTTCGCGGGAGGCGCTAATACGCAGTGTACGAACGCCGTTAAGGATTTGTTGACGTATATGGGAGCCAATACTGACGTGTGGTTGGGGGCTCTGTGGTGGGGAGGCGGCCCTTGGTGGGGGAATTATATTTATAGTATGGAGCCTCCTTCGGGGACTTGTTATTCGAGTTTTTTGCCGGTTTTGCAGAGTCTGATGTGAGAGGTGGAGGTGAAGGAGGGGGGGGGGAGGGTGTAAATAGGGAGGGATTGTTGGGGTTTGGTTCTTGTATATAGGCTTTTTTCTTTGAAGGACCGGGTTTTTGAAAACCCCATTTGATCTTGACGAGCGTATCTTTCAATAGGCTTGAAGTGGATAGAGATAGTGACAAGAAACCTTTTTTATTGTCTTAAACCACTCACACTTCTGGAATGATGAAAAAAGATCTGTTTCTTATGCTGTGCAACTGTCATAACGTTCATATATACACTCATCACTCATTTCCCATCTTTCACCCCCTCTCCCGAAGTTTGAAATTCAACTCATTCCCAAATCTAGACAAAACTTACTATCCTTGACGACATACAAATCAACGTACTCATCAATAGCCATAGCCTCTAACTTCTTGGGATCATTGCCCAAATCAACCAACTCCTTGACTTTCGCCTCGCTGTAATGAGGTCCAAGATGTCTCTTGTATTTCGCCAAGATCTCCGGCTTCGCCTCCTCTCTTCTAAGTCTATGTCCTAGCGGAGCCTCAACAACAACCTCCTTCATAACTGTTCCATCGTTCAAGACAACCGTCAAGGCGTTAGGAATGGTACGCATGTTCTCGTTGTGGTAATCCTCGGTGAATTGTGGGTCCTCGACACACTTGATCTTTTGGCGGAGAGATTCAACAAGTGGGGAGGTGGCGGCTTCTCCTCCATCAGTGTAATCAGTTGCCTCGAGGCGGCCATAGACGAGCATTACTGCGGCCATATATTGGATGCAGTGATCGCGATCGGCAAAGTTGTCCATTGGCTTGAATTGCTTATCGATGATACGGACGCATGCCTCGTGGGTTCTGCATGTGATTTTCTTGATGTCGGCTGCGGATTTACCTTGATCGTGGAGTTGTTTGCGGATGTTCTTTGCTGCCTCAATAGCAGTTTGCGAGTGGAACTCAGCTAAAAAATGTTAGCGTGTAAATAATCATTGGCGTAAGTGGACTTTACCTGGGTATGAGACCTTGAACAAAACGTTCTCCATAACGTAACTTCCATATGGTCTTTGGAATTCAAATTTGTTGCCCTTGAAAAGGACATCGTAGAAACCCCAAACAGGTGCAGATAAAACAGTTGGAACACCTGGCTCGCCCTTCATAACCTTCAAGACGAGATTGACGGCACGTTGGCAAGCATCACCAGCAGCCCATGACTTTCTTGACATGGTGTTTGGAGTATGTCTGTAAGTTCTCAAACTTTGGCCATCAACCCAAGCTTGAGAAACTGCATCTGCAGTCTGCTTCTCGGAAAGACCAAGCATCTTGGAAATCACAGCAGCACTAGCAACCTTAACCAACACAACATGGTCAAGGCCAACCTTGTTGTATGAGTTGAGAAGTGCCAAACATCCTTGAATCTCATGTGCCTTGATCATAGCCTCCAAGACATCCTTGACCGTAACCACCTTTCCATTGCCCAAGTTTCCACCAGCACGGTTGGTTCGTGAGATCCAGTCTGCAACGGCCAAGATAGCTCCCAAATTATCTGAAGGGTGACCCCACTCAGCAGCCAGCCAGCAATCATTGTAGTCTAGCCATCGGATCATAGCACCGATGTTGAAAGCTCCATTGACAGGATCCAATTGGAAATCTGTACCGGGAACCTTGGTTCCGTTTGGAACAACGGTGCCCTCAACAATTGGACCAAGCAGTTTCGTACATTCTTTAAATCGCAGACCTTCGAGACCGCAACCGAGGGTATCAAGGAAAACAAATCGTGCGGTATCAAACTAAAAACGCAAACTGTCAGCATAATCCTATCTTCCATTCCAATGAGGGGGCTTACAGCGAGATCCGAGTTTATGGGGGTATTGTGGACATAGCTGGCAATATCCTTAATCTCGGGATCATATTCTCTTGCCTGAGGTGGTGGAGGAGCACCGGATTGAAGAGGAGACATGGTGGAGAATTGTTTGAAGGCAGGTAATGGTGTTGTGCGTGGAGAAATGGAAATGCGGGATGTGGAAGAGAGGGTTGTAAGAGGGGCAGCTCGCAGAGCTCGATTGGCGGGGAAGGTTGGTCGCAGGTTCTTGCTTGCTACAGTGCGAACAGAACGGGTGAACGTCGACATATTTGAAGAGAGAGTGGAGAGGGGAGACTTGACAATCAATTGCAAGCCCTGCGACGATAGAATTGAGGTTCTTCTCAAGCACAGTTTATTTGTTGCTGAGGCTGCTTAGTTGGTTCCAAGGGACTCTTCTGGCGTGTGGCACCTGCACCCACACCCACCTGCCGACTGTGAGCCGAGGCTATGCGGGCGCCTGGGATACTTGGCTTGGAAAAGAAAGCGGCATCGGGGAGTGGGGTTATTTGCTACTACTCAATGCTGCCTTATTAATACATTCTGTGCAAAATCCGGTCCCGGAGATTTACTAAATATTTTCCCGATGGTTAAGAAAAACCGCAGAGAGTCCTTTCATTAGCGTAACTTGGTTCGGACTATTGCATTACGTTGTTGACTTGAACTAACATATAAGATTTATATACAATTCAATGAATTATTTAGCAGTAGGTATCTAAAAACTTAAAAGGTTTAGACTAACTTACGCGAAGAGAACGGAAAGGGTCAAACTCAAAGTAAGGGTCTCGAGATCTCCCAAGTAACTCTAGGAAACCAGATTGGAAAACACCCCACTCAACAACTCCCGTGAGTATTTGTGTCTCTTGTTCTTTACTACAATTGAACACTTTCGAAGCTTCTCGTTAATTGCTCCGCAATCCTGTTAATAAGAGTAGAATTGATTGAAAATATGAAATTGTTCTGGTGTGCTTGAATTCTCCCACGGGGTGCTAAGCGAGAGGAGTGGAAGACTGGAAGTAACATCAAGTCAGGTGGGTCAGCTAAGGGACCACGCTAAGTCAAAACGAGGTGCGGAAAGGTGTCTTTGAGAGAACTGGTGATTCAGGTGTACATAATCCAAGGCACAGTAGTTAAGGTATGAAATAATTTCCAGTTGGAGTTAGAAAATACTATAATAATTACTAGTTGTTCACTTAGCTATTCCCCAACATATTATATTCTTGTTAACGTCAATCCCTCTCTTTTCCAACCCCCTGTTCTACTGCAAGAAACCTCTCTAAGCCCCTCAAAACTCCAACAAACATTACTAAAGGACCTGAAACTTACCTTCTGGTATTTTCCCTATAAGTTCTAACTCAAAATCCCGAAAGAACTCCTATGTCGCGACTTCACGATGAGTTAGAGAATTGGATGCTATCACTACGTGCAAAATGATTCCGTTCCTCTGAAATATGTAGAGAGAGAAGCCTAATTGTAAATAGTGTTGTTATAGTTAGAAGTCACGAGAGAACGTTCGTTAAGTGAATTCCTTTTACACTTACTTGTGACTTGTTGGCTTGAGATTATTTACGTAAGAATTAATGAAAATTGTCTCTTGTTGTAAATTGGGAGTTGTTGATTCCATAGACGTTTCAAGAACTATGTCAACAATGACTTGATTGGAGTAGCGCGTACATCCTGAGTGAGTGAATAGTGTGACTAGGAATTCTTTTCTGGAAGTCATTGCTCATTTTGTGCTAAGCGAAGGCTTACGATACTATTAATAACACCTCAGTCACATGGTATAATTTGAGATAAATTAATGTACATCACAGTAGATAGTACTGTCTGGGTGTCCCTATTTGGAATCTTATTCTCAGAGAAGGTCCTGGCTGCGATCCTTTTGCTTATATTGGCCTTTTTGATCACCCTCCCCTGCCTCCTGACCTTACCCCTGTTGGACGTTAAATCACTCTAGCATTTGGGGTTTTTGCTTGAAGCTGGCTGGTCTTACTTCTTCAGGTCCCTTTCAGGTTTGGAACAAGAAGATATTTGATGAAGTTTGATGTTGCCATAGAAGAATTTTGATACAGGGTTTTCAATTCTTCCCTTGTCATTAGACTTTGCTGTTTAGATAAGTGAAACATTTTGGTTCTTTAATATTATATCCCCGCTCGTCGCGATGTTTTGATCCTTGATAAATACGTACGCGATACCCTAGTTTTACATTCTCTGAGCAAAGTAAATTGCTCACGATATCAGAACTTAACAGACCCCCGTAGGGTGCCTAATGGAGAGCTACCTAAGAGAGAGCCACTCAAGAGGATATTAGCTACCACGATATTCCTCAAAAGGGTTCTGTTTATAATCAAGGACAAGGACTCAAGGTTCAGTCGAGCGTACGGATTGAAACCTACTACTACTACTACTAAGAATACACTTAATAAACGTAGGCTAGATGAAGCGTCAATTCTATCTAGCGTAAATGCTAATTTTCCTTCCGTCTATAAAAATACTCCCCCTGGCCTCATTATACACATGCGGATTATTCACTTCATCTTTCATTAGTATTGGAAAAACACATATTCCGACGAGGTGTTTGTGAATGGCTCTTCGGTCGAATTAAACTTAGTCGGGTAGCATTCTGGTCCCATCTCATTGGGTAGGTGCCGTTTGAGTCAACTACCGTTATTTTCAGAATGATTCAGTGGCGTATTTCATGCTTCGATATATTAAATGCCTCTATCCTTCCAAGTCAAGTTCTCTTCTTCTTCCCACAACCATAATCTTGAGTACGAACGACCCACTTTCGAATATCACCAGCTACAAGACTACGTCTACGGAAGCTTGATATACATACTTGGGTATCTCAGAAACCATTGTGCTCTGATTACCATGAAACCTATCCATCTTATCTTCGCCATATTTGGCATCGCTGCCACGGTAGGCATGCCATACGAGTTCAAGACCAGTATCCTCATTCTTTGCTGATTATTAGAACACAGGCTCCTGCGATGCCTTATGCACCAGTCCGCACAGCACTGCCATCTCCACAAAACCTCTACGATTCTTTGATTAGACCTGATACCACGCTGCAAAAACGAGAACCACCGAAAGCTGATGGGGAGGGCAATACTGTAAAGACAAAACTCTCCACAAACTCTACAAGGTAGATAATCTAACTATAGACAGCTTCATAAGATGTGTTGTGTCGAGATGGAAGGTGAATACCGAGCATGGAAGTTCGCCGAACAGATTAATCTTGTAGAGGCCATGAATAGGTTGTGGCAGTCGAAGGTGGATGTTATATTCCGAGCAAAGGGGTGCGGTGTGGCTGTGTGCAACAGGAGAGCCACTGTCGAGGTTTGCAACGATGTAAGCAGATTACACTCTTTTCCATACTTGCCTTGAGTCTTTTATTATACATGTTAAAGTAGCTAATATATCGACCTACCGTAGCTACCACGCGAACAAATCCTTAGCCCCCAGGGCATTACCAAATACGTTCAGACGTGGTGGATTTGCGGACTCTTTCTTCCCATTCTGCTGACCGGGGTGAGGTGTTGTCCCAGATTCCGTTGTTGGAGCGGGCGGCTAAGTGGATGGCGCAGAAGTTGGGGAGCATGCTGAGGAGCCAGTAGACTTGGATTGCGAAGAGCGAGAGGTTGGGCATTTTTCTTTTTCTCTCCTTTTCTTTTTCTATGATGTTGCGATTTAAAACAGGATTTTTGAGATGAGAAAACACCTGGTACCGTATTAATTGGTATATAAGATAGCATATGGTATTCGAGAAGTTTATTAAATCGACGATCGTAACCTTATCTTATATAAAGAGTAGTATCTAATAAACAAAAAAGCGGGTGTCTACCACCAACCTACTAACCACCCCCTATTATACGCCTTCTGCGACTACATTCACGCCAACAACCCCCTTTTCTCAAACTTTCAGCTTCTTTATCTCCACTTAAGCGACAAATGGCCCAATGGAACCTATATCCTCTAGGGAAGGACGGATCAAAAGCTACAACCATTACAGGAATGAGGTAGAGTTTTAGTATATTTGTACTTGAATAAGAGTACTTTGGTACGATTGTATTAGTTAGATTTATAAGATATGATTTCTACTCTAGGTTAGAACCTTATTTTATATCGCGGGATATCTTATATAAGGATGATATCTTATATACCAATTAATACGGTATATTGTTTTGTTTGAGATCTTCACTGTAAACAAATATTTGGGGACTTGAAGTTGAATGAATTTATATTTTCCCCGCAGTTGAGGTCAATGATTGGCCCTGATCCTTGGCTGTTCGGTTACGCAGAGATGTTTTTGTGGGCCGTTGGATCCAAGCAGGGTTGTTCAATTATGTCTAATTTAAATAAATTATCTATAATTACTAATTAGGTCGATTATCTGATAATAAATTATCTATAAATTACGTGCATCATGTGACCTCGGGGCGGAAAATCTAAATAGCCCGGCCACAAATTATAGTTTTAATCTTTAAAACACCTACTAATTCAGTGCCCTCTAAGTGCGCTTTTAGTTATATAGGATTAATTACAAGTACTTTACGTAACCGCCTTAAGGTAGAACAGGTTTATAAACTAATATTTATCTATATAAGCTAGCGCTTATTAGATAATAACTCAGCGTTCCTTAACTTCTCTAAGGTCTCTAAAGAGAAGCTCGTCGAACTTGAAAGAGCACTTATATAAATAGAGGAAGGAGATAATAAGGACAAAGACAACAGTAATATTAAGATTAATAACTCGAGCAAGGACGAGGGAGATTAGAGTTAATTCTTTGAATTAAGTACTCTTTTGTATATATTTTTAATAGTCTTTTCTAGTAAAACTAGTCTACCCCTATACCCCTTATTCACCACTTTATATATCCGATATTCATTGCTAAGATCTAATATTAGAACCCAAATCTTTAATTATCATAAATTAGACAAAAATCAATTATAATTAGATTATCTAAAATTAGATAGCCCAACCCTAGATCCAAGAGATTGCGTTTACAGTACAAAAGTGGGGAAACTTGAAAACTACATACATTATCTAAGAACAATAGGCATGTCCCACTTACAATGATAGAATCAAAAAATAAATGCGATTACGAAATGCAGCTAATCTAATCCCATCTCTCACAGTTTCTCTATATCTTTGTACCCCAGCAGTACATCGTCATAATGAGCTCTAAGGCACTCTTTTGGCAAGTATAAATCCCATACCTCGTCCCCACCATGCAAAACATACCCCTCCAATGCGTGCCCAAGCTCGTTGCCTTCTGACTCAAAGTCTGTTAGTGACTGGTATTCTGCCAATAACCCCACCGCCAAAAGCTCGTCTCGAACCCTATCGGGGACAATGACTTTTGGACGTGCATCTGCCCGACGATGATAAATGCGTAGAGCAAGATTCATTCCTAAGAAACTTTTCACTTCCCACATGCCTCCCCCAATTTCCAGTCGATCTAAATTCAACTCCCCTGACGCTGTGTATTCTCTCAAAGAGCGGAAGAAAGGTGGAAATTGATCGTCCTCGAAGAGTGGATCGGTGAGAATTAGGTTGCGTAAGGAAGATCCATTTCGTCTGATGATTTCAAGGAGGTCGTAGGGATGGCACATGACTTGGCTGAGTTGAAGCGTGTGGATGTTAGGCCATTTTGCCTTTCCAAAATATCTCGCCAGCGATCTCTCCCACAAAGCCTGATCGTCCCATGAAAAGGTAACGTTGATTGTTTTGACTCGCTCTGCGCCGTCGAAACATTTCGCCAAATGACCTCCAGTATTGAGAAGTTCATCAATGCCGCCTTTGATGCCCCAAGGGTGTTCGCTTGCAGAGAGGTTGAGGAGCAATGTAATTTCCTCCAACTGTCCGAAGAGATACTTCACGCTTTCTCGAACTTGCTCATCCCATAGGTAAGTGAGCCCTATTTCTGCTTTTAGTATCTTTGGCTTTAAAGCGTGTTCTCGAATAGCAAGGGCGGCACAGGCAAGGGCTCTACCGGTGATGTCCTTCCGACGCCAATCACAGCATGTTTTCAGGTGCCGCTCAGTCCAAGAGCGTAGTACTTCGGTGTCTGATAATCTTTTGTAGTCGGCTGGCTGCAATGGCCTATGTTCAGTCGCGAATACGGTGCTTTTGATTACCAACTTATTCAGAAGGTGGAGAGAACTCAGGGCTTCCATGAGGATAGCGCAATCGCCACAAGAGTCTCTAACAGATTTGTATCCGGCCAATATTTCGGAATAAAGAGCGAAATCTACACCTTGTGAGATGTGCACACAAACGCAGTGTTTGCGTATTCCTTAGTATAGCATCAGAAGCTGCAGCACTCTGTAGCTTTGAACGTAATTGAGCAATGCTCTTTGGGTTCTCCAGTAAATTTATCTCTTGAAGTATTAGGTCGAGTCCTAGGCTTGCAAACATTTTGCAGACTTGTCGAAATTCTACTACGTCCGCCATAGTCAAAAGCTTTGATACCATACTCCACTGCAGCGAATTAGTACATGTTTTTCTCGTTTGAAAATCCAAAAAGGGAGCAAGAATAGAAATAATAACACGCGTCCATCCACTAGAAGTGGGTACTTAAAAGCGATGAGAAAAGGAAGTTTACTTACGATTTCAGGAGGTAACATAGCCTGGATTCGAACTTGAGGCATTTGGGAAGCGGTGGCTAGAGCGCCTGCTTTAAGTAAGCCGTCTGTCATATGTGTAATACTCTCCTTGAGTGCTATTGTTGATCTGGTAGCCTCTCTAAAGCTGTTGCGAGGTTGTTCTAGAGACATTTCGACTGGAAATCCTGTAGATAAGCTGGCAGTCAACTCCAGTGAAGGTCCTGCGCTGTAATGTCGATATTTGTGTTCGTTGATTTTGCGAGGTTTTCTTCAAGAGGTTGTTGTTGGGGCTAATTGAGGGAGGTGAGTATTAATGAGTTAGTTGTCTTAGTCGCTGGAAAGCCAGCCATGGGGACGAAATGCCCTTCACCTAGTGCTGTACAGCTAATAAACCGTAGATCATTCACTCAAAATACCTTGATGAAACATTTAAGGTGCATTCATTTATCAAAAGTGCTCACAGTTGCAAAGTGAATTTGCAGTGAAAGTTTGTTATTGCTCCTTTTCTCCATGTTAATATCGGTAACAGAACTGCCACTAGACTAGTAGTTTCTAATATCAAAGTCAATTTTTCATTTAGTACTGTCCTTTTATTATAGTGAATGATTATTTGGTAATTAACTAGCTCTGGCCCTTTGAGTCTAGCTTGCTCCTCCTCTTCAGGACTAGCGTACAATAGCATAGATATATACGTAGGGACCTAGCTAGCTACACTCGTTTCAGTATACAACATTAGGGACTTGGCTATTACACATAATAATATCGGTCTATTGCATCACCCATTTGACTGATACGTCAAACCGACAAGTACTCTATAAACTAATCCTTCTGACATTAGTATCTCTGGCCGTTTTCTGTACTAATCAAAGGGAATCTAGGAAATTTCGACAAGATACAAGTGGCCTTCCCCTCACTTGATACAAGTTTGAACTTTGAAGACATTGAGGCAGAAGACCGCTGCCAGTGTAGCTCTTTCCGTCATAGAATGGAATGTTCAAGACGGGATATTTGGGTGGTGGATTCAATTCTTAACTACGAGGATAGTAGCCTTCCAATCCCTAAATAACCATTCACCACATTCACCCCCTCTCGCAGTCATAACCATAAGTAACACTTCTCACACCAAGTCATCCGATACATGCCCGGGCAGCTTAATAGAAACATTGAGTGAGCACTGTAAGAGCTTTACTTGAAGATTGACTAGTCAAACCGCAAAAAACTCAGTTCGTCTGGTTTATTGTCCGAGAGCGCCTTCTTTAAGGGTGAGGATTTTTTTGATTCTTTTTTGAATTTCTTTTAGAGGGGAGAGCGGGGTAATGGGGTGAGAATGGGTGATAGGGAGATAGGTCGAGGCATGTGCATTTTAAGGGAACAGTGAATAGACAACACATGGAAGAGAAGTAAGCATCGCCCTGGCCTATTATTCAACTGGGGGAACTCTGTGTAAGGGTTCAGTTATTACGACCTTGAAAGAAAGTTACTCGGTAGACAATAGCTTTGGTACTGAAAGATTATTAAGATAAGAGGTTTGAGACAGAGAAGAAGTACACTGTATAAACGATAAACGTTATGACATGTTGACGCTTAACAGAAGCTGTTTTGTATTATCTGTTGCTGGATAGATCGTACAACTGCCGATTTGAATACATGCACCTTCCATTATCTCAAGCCCAAGCCACATCTCGAGACACATCCATCTCTTATCCCAACCCTTGGTCCACATCCCAATTTCGACATGCACCGAAGTAAAACAACCTTAGCAAGGACAGCAACCCTATCACAATTAGTAAATTTAGCATAGATAATAATTCCAGTACATGTACCCTCCCCTTCTCTATCTTCCCACAGATGTATTTCAAAGCAGCTGAGGAACAAGAATACGTACAATTGCGTTGGCGAAATCAGAAGTACTACAGCATGGCACACCCTTAAAGTCACTTCCCGGACACGCGCACTGAGTCACGTAGTAGTTGCCCCAAAGGATACTACTAAAGCTGCTACCCAGGAATCTTAATTACAAGCCCTCCACTGGCGTAAAAATTATTCCTCATCTTAACACTGCTACCGTCAAATACCGGTCAAGGTAAGACTATTCACCCATACACCAAAACTACCACTCTAAATCGCTTCCTCTGGAGGATATACATCCTTGGTGCGAAAGGCTCTATAATACTAGAAGTTTGAAGCTTAGCACAAGGTAGATATATAGCCTTACGGGGTATGCAAGTCGCCCTCTCAACTGGACTACTTCAAAGTGTTATTGGTTGTAGTACGTACGAACCTGATTGTCCAAACATAGAGCCGGATTGCTCACTAAGATGCTTGGGTCAGATGGATCTGGGTTAGAGTCTTAGGAAGTTTGGAGCTGATGTTAGGTTTTTGAATTTGTGTGATAGAGCGTGATGGTTTGTTAATTGTGGTCTTATTGTTTAATCGTTTGAGATCAGAAAATATGAAGTATTATCTATACAGAGAGCCTGGAACTATGGAAGAGATTATGACAATAAGCGAGGAGAAGCAGGTCGTCACAAAGGTAATGAGGAAAGATGTGGAGGTAGTTCTTGGTATAGAGATATCAGAGATATCAAAGGAAAGGAAACAACAAAGGCGTAAAAACAGTGATTCTAATAATCGTATTATTCTATCGATCCTGTGTAATCTAGGCGTATATATAGCGCTGGATTATTACGTAATTAAACACGTGGATAGATTGTGACGGTAGTACCAGGTGAAAAGAAGAAAACGAATATAGTAAGATTCAGGACAGGCTTTTGAATATCAGAACATGACATTCGCTCTCCCTCCCAACCAAGACACCCCCAAAAGCGCAGTTAAATACTCCCCAGACCCGTTCTATAGAATGCGCCTAATCAAAACCCTCCTATCACCGCAGTCTCCGCAGTCTCCGTATATCTCCAACCCACTACACTAGCCATATTTCGCCATCCCTCCCCATAGATTAAGGTCCTGCCTTACAAAGACAAGCCAAATTACCAGTGACTTTGTCGCATCTAACTCTGCGCACACCCTTAAATTATATACATCAGTAGTGGTTCCAGAGTTATGTTATGGATATACCTACATTTGGGCAGTTTGTACACAGCGCGGGATCTTCAACACATGCGGCCGTAGCTAGAGAGAATAGGGCAAGAGAGAAGGCGAGTGTGAGTTTCAATTTTGGGGGAGTTTCTTTTGTTGGATGGAATATTCGGTGGATAGAAAGGGTTTATTGGTGTGTGAAGATTTGGGTTGTTTTTGGTACAAATATGTTGATTTTTAACGAAAGGGGGATGGGAGGTGAGAGGGGTTTATATCTTTCTAATAATGTACTTCATTTAGGTTTATAGCTTCCGTAAGTTTTCCAAAAGGGATGTACCTTGTCACTACATTAAGACACCCTAGAAATAAATATGTTACACTTGGGACGAAGTGAAACAGGGTAGAATGTAACACATACGAGGATACAACTTTAAGGCCTCTTGGCGAGCAGGTATCCCTTGGACTGTAAATCATACCGCGCCTAGGCTTAGTGTAGGGCTTAAGCGAGCCGCGGCGTTGATATACCTAATTAGGATGTGCCAAGTATCAAAACGACTCGTCTCGTCAGTTCTAGCTCGCTCGCTTTAATAAGATACGAAAGGCGTAAGGGGTCTATAAACTTATCGCGGCGTAGGCGTAGATGTAGTAGTATTAGTTCCTAGTCTAGAAAGGTTCCATTAGATTCATGACTACCTGAATTTTAAAATATATTTTACTCTACAAAATGAATTCTATATAATCCTTTGTATAGGAACGGCGAGTTTGATTTCGATATTGTTCTTATATATCCGCTAATTTTAATTATTCGATGGAAGGCGATAGACTTGCTTTATAAGAAGATAGGGAAGCGTATTAGGATTCTGGTCACGTCGCTAATATAGGGAAATAGGGGATAGGAGTTATATAGGAGGCGTACTTAGATATATCTTTCAAGTAGAAAAATACTCCACGTGTTTGTTATACAGGGCACGTGACAGGGGGCACTCTTACAACCCATCCAGATCCAGCCAAAATCCCCTAAAAATCCCCTAAAAAAAAATCCCCAAAACAAAAAAAAGAGAGGTCGACGCTCAACCCACTCACACCCACCAAACCACGCAACAAGTGTATTCCAATACCGCCACACCGCGGTGAAGATCTCTCTGCAGAGTCAGGCCTCCCTCAAGAGGTAATCTTCATTGCTTAGGGCCCCGCGCAGCAGATCGTGAGTTTCCTGCACGAGTGGGGAGCCACCGCCATGTTCGAACTGGGCACTGTTGGTAGTTGGCTCATTGAAGAGCCAAACTTGGTGGATGACAAGCGGGATGCTGATGTCTTCCTGGGTTTGCAGCCATTACAGCTGATGGAAAAAGCGCTTATTTGAGGTTATGGAGGGTGTCTGTGCTTTTGGGTGGTTTGTGGGCCGTAGAGGGGCCGAGGGGGGGTTGTGGGTGGGTGGATTTGAGAGGGTCACGTGTAAGGTCCACTTTGGCTCCACTCTGGCTATTCTATTCACTGCGCAGGTGATGGCACCTGAACGTGTTGGTGATTGCAATTTTTCGAAACATTTCAAAATATTGGGATCAGGAGTTGTATGCCTTTGATACATTTGGATGTGCGTGCGACTCACATGCAGCGCGGGCAGGAGGTGAGTCCAAACCATGACCTCATGATCTCGCGCCTCCCACGCGTTTGTTTCCACGTCTGCAACCTCAAACCACCATCTCGATAGTGTATAACATCACACACATCAAACCATTTACACACGCTTCAATGCAAGAAACCTTACACCATGGCTCCCTCCGATCTCCAAGATCTCCAAGCAAATTGGAAAGAGCTCTGTCAAAAAACCCTCCCAGCCGCAGCAACCGCCAAAGATCCCGCTCAGGTATTCCAATGTCAATTTCAATCTACATCATTTGAAGGACTTCACGCTGACAAATCCCTAGTCCAAATGGCCAGTCCTCGTTGATCACTGTTTCGCTCGTATCGTCCTCGATAACGTGGTCGGAGTCGACAGTCCGTGGAAAGAAAAGCTGAAGAGTCCGGCGTACAAGAATATGAGTCAACCCCAGTTGGAAAGTTGCATTGAGCTCGGCTTCAAGATCCTGGATGGGGCGGTCGATCTCGTGGGGTTGAATGAGAAGAGTCTAGCTTTGAGAGGCAAACAGGAGAGCGTGAAGAGGAAGAGAAGCGAAGAGCCAACATCCGAAGACGACGAGGTCAAGAAGAGGAAACTGTCTTTATCCTTACAACCTGACTCCTCAGCTCAAGATCAAAATCGGAATCGAAATCGAAATCGAAAACTCATTACCGGAGAGATCTCGCCGTACTTCGCAAGTCCATCTCCATCAATGAAGAATCCCCGCACCAATTCCGTCGCGGAGGAAGATCTCACACCTTGGATCCCGAAAATCGCTCTCTGTCACAAGACTCCCTTCCAAAAGCGGGTTCTCACGGCTCTATGTCAGGTTCCAAGAGGGAAGTTCACGACCTATGCCGCGATATCCACGTATCTCAATGCGTGTCCGCGATCGGTGGGCACGGCGTTGAGAGACAACCCGTTTGCCCCGGATGTCCCATGTCATCGCGTGCTCACGACGGGGGGTGGAATTGGTGGTTTCCGTGGAAGCTGGGGGAGAAATGGCGAGGTGGGGAAGAACGATGATAAGAAACGAGCGCTACTGAGGGAAGAAGTGGTGAGATTTGATGGGAGTGGAAAAGCTGTGGGTGTCGCCTGGGATCACTTTCGATGAATTCTGCATGCGGAATGTGGAGGTGTTGATTCTGCACACCAGACCAGTTCATCTTGTATTCAATAAGAACCATGGAACCATCCCGCGATGAAATGTTGTATTTACAATGCCGGTCTCCATCCTGTATTTCATTTTAAGCGACCGCACTCTTACCTATTCTAGGACGAAATCACCCTTGAAACCGTAATCTTACGCTACTCCTCGCTCTTGGCTGCGTCGTTGGCTCGGAATACGCATTCAGGTAAGAGTATATACTATTCCGTAGCACACCCCTACACTTGTAAACCTCGACTCCTTTCCCTGCTTTTTGCGAATATCGTTTAACTCTCGTAGAGTTATCATACCCAAAATTTCAAAAATACAAGATATATAATCATCACCTATCTTACTCCTATAAACTCGACGATAAAAATACTACCTACCACCTCCTAATCACCAACTTATATAATCAATTAAATATAATATATTCTACTTCTGCCTAATAGTGGTAATCTTCCCTACTCCTCTATCTGTATTACTATTTCCATCGCTCGCTCGCTCGCTCACTTACCCCACCCGCCCTCTTCGTAGTTATAAAACCATAAAATCACGCCATAAGAAGATATATATAAAAAATGCGCAACTTAAATTAGAGGGTATCGAAAAGGATATATAGTAAAGATGAAAATGGCTTCAAAGCTAGACATAGCAAAAAGGCAACAAATGGTAATAAGATAATAAAACCCGACAAGGGAAAAACGCCGATGCATGCGAATGCCCCATCTCTTTCTTTCAACCCCTTGAATGTAAAAACACGTAAAATAGAAATCATCATCATAAAAAGATAATACCTCCCTCTTCATCTCAAATCATCCCCCCCTCCATCCCCGCCATATGCGCAGCCCTCACCTCCCTCGGGTGCCTCTCACTAGTCATCATCCCAGCACCCCCATTCATAGCCGGCAGCGGCGGACTAGCCATCAACCCAGCTCTCCCAGCACCCCAATTGGGCGGCGGCACACTCTCGTAAGGACTCGTGCCCTGCTCCAGGATCGGCGGACTCTTCGTTCCATTGCGTCCTCGACTCGCACTCCTCAAGCGCTCTGCGGCTCGGGTGAAGCGTCCGGAGATGCTGTTGTCTGTCTCGCTTCTCCCGCGGGAATGGCCCATGGAACGGTTCCGGGAGTGGCCTTGGGCGAAGGGGGCTTGGGGTGGGGNGCGGCTCGGGTGAAGCGTCCGGAGATGCTGTTGTCTGTCTCGCTTCTCCCGCGGGAATGGCCCATGGAACGGTTCCGGGAGTGGCCTTGGGCGAAGGGGGCTTGGGGTGGGGTAAGGGTTAGTGAAGAGGTGGATTGCTCGGTGGGGGAGTTCTTGTTGTTGGAGGGTTTGGAGTCTGAGTCGTCGTCCATGACGATTTCGATATCGCCTGAGCTGGTGGATACGCCGGAGACCATGGAGGTTGTGTTGTTTGGATTGTTTGGATTGTAGAGGGGAGCGGGTGGTGGTGGAGGTGGTGTTGCGAGATGTTGGAGTTGGGGGATGATTGGTGGGGCTGGAGGAGGAGGTGGTGGTGGTGGTGGGATGAGGTTGTCGTTTAATGGGTTGTGGTTATGTTGACGCATAGTTTCATCAATACCTCCCATCATACCGCCCAAGACAGCCGGGTTGTGTGTCGAGTGAGTCGGGCTGTTATTTCTAGCCTCATATCCTAAAGTTCCTGGTTGTGACTCTCCAGGATTGATCTTGCGAGGAGATGGAACTGGTGATCGCTGAGTATTCGGCTCCTGTGTCTTGCCTCGACTACTCGGTGGAAGTGCTGCTTGGAAAGCTGGATGAGTTGGTAATGCTGCAGGCAATGGATGCGGTGAAGCAGGAGGCTCTTCCGGGATAGGAGCAGATGCACAACGTGCTGGTACTCGACGAGGTGCTGCCGAGTATGTTGTCTTTGGCAAAGGCCCGAGGGTTTCAAAAGCACTATTATGAGAGAGCGCATTCAGACTACCCCAATTCGATCCGATTGGTGACTCATTCTCATACTTGCCAGGAATCTGAGGGACTTCTGGAATGCTATGCCCATCGGGATCATACTTTGGATGTCTCATGGCTCTCGGAGTCGCTGGAAGTCCAACTTGCGGTGATGATGAGTTGCTCTGGTTCAAATAAACAGGTGAAGTTTGAAGGCTGGAGGGCGATGCAGTTTGACTCCTGGGCGGTTGAGGCTGCTTTGAGGTTCTGTGAAGATCCGGCGACGGGTGACGATATGAGATTGGCGAAAGAGTCGCAATTTCTTCCGGATGAACAATTGCAGGGGCCATGGGTCTCAAAGCAAGAGACTTGCGTCTCTCCTCAAGCTCACGAGCAGCCTGTTCCTTTTTCAAAGTGCGGGCATCTTTGATCAGGTTCAAATCTCCAGCTTCACGTCCAGAAGCGGATCGAGCATGAGATGGTTGCCTTTCACGTTTTGGTGGAGAAGCTTCCTTGGGCTCTCTCCTCACCTGGCTAGCATCTCGCTCAGCTGGACGGCGGCTACTTGAGCGATCTCTTCGCTTCCTCTCTGGCGATTCGTGGCGAGCAGTACTTGTCCCACGTTCTCTCATACGGCTGGTGCTTCTATTTCGGGATCTAAAACGCATTTGATCATCGTGTGCCTTTTTCAAATCTGCTGCGTCTTCGTCCTGGTAAAACTTGGCTTGAGGGGACATTGGAAGGGGTGAAGACGGAGAGCGCATCGCAGAACCATCGCGACCATGACTTCTACCCCTGGAACTTGTATCAATCATGGTTAGCTTTCCTCTAGGGCTCGGCTGGCGGCTTGCGTTGCGACTTTGACCACGGCTGGCTGCTCTGGAGCCTACTCGAGCTGCCTCTGGAGAGATACGACGAACACGGCTAGGTGCTCTTGACGTCGTAGCTCTTGAGCGACTGGTCTCCCTTTTCCGTCTAGATTGAGTAGTGGTAGTGGAATCAGTAGGCGAGAAAGGACCCGCGGTGGAACCTAGATCGATGAGATCCTCAGGTGACATTGGTACTGGCGAAGTTGGTGAGCGTTTTGCTGGTTTGATGTACCGAGCATTGTTGCGTCCACGGTCTTCGGAAGGTTCTCTCGTTTTAGGTTTGCGGCTACTGCTACCAGCTCTCCCTGATCTATCACGGCTGCTCTGTCTCGTTCGTTGCTTGGCGGAATGATACTGAGCAGATTCTAGACTACTAATATACTGATCGAGACTTCTCCCGGTGACAACTGGACTTACTCCTCCCATGCTTCTGTAACTCCTCTCGCTCATCACAGGGCTTCTTGTGCTTGACGCGGCAGTAAGTCTGGAAGAAGCAACGGATGGATCAGGAGAGGTCATGTAATCACCAGTAATGATTGATTCCATTGGTGGCCACTGGATCTGAAGTCCATCAGGTTTACGGTCCCGAGAACCATTTCGATGACGAGCCGCGGCATTCTGCTGTGTGAAAGATTCGGGTGAAGGAGATGGAAGTCCTTGCAGCTTGAATTTTGCTTTCTCCATCATGGGGCTTGCTGTAGATGCTCTAGCTATAGGATTGTACCTGGCGGAGTTAAGCAAATCCGGTGGGGGTTGTGACGCATTGTCAGTTTCTCGAGCTCGAGCAAGATTTTCACTCCTTTCTCTATCAGAACCAGACTCGGCAGGAGCTGGTAAATTCGCGGGCTCAAGCTTCATTCGGGGAAGGGGCACGTCAGAGGGCATCTCGCCTATTGAAGGAAGTCTCTGTCTGGAGAATCCACCAGGAGTCGCAGTTCTTGCCGATGCGGGGGTGTTGTATACACTGCGATTACTCGGTCTGAGAAAGGCCGTTGTATCACCTTGTGGTGATAATGCAGACTCTGCAATCGGAGTTATGCCACCACCAACCGGTGTGCGATCGTCATCTCCAACTCCAAAGAATTTGGATTTAGCAGCCTTGTCGCCAAAGGAGGTGATAAGTTTGAGTGCGGATGTCTTGGCAATACTGCGCTGAGGACCTCTTGCTCCAGGTGGAGATAGTGGAGGACTGAGGAGTTCTGGAATACTTTGGCTTTGGAGTTGGAGTTGCTTGAAAGTTAAAGCTTGAGCGGTTGGCGAAAACCAAGGCTCCGTCGATTCCGATCCAGTGCAAGAAAAGCATCTAATAGCCAGTTGCTGCTGACTATGTTGAACAGCCCACTCACCCCATGTCCTGACCAATTCAGCTTGTCGTGACCAATCCGAAGGGAAAACGAGACAAGTCAAAATCAGAGCCTCCATATAACGCTTGTGAGATACGTAAATTTCAATCGCATCATTTTGATCGCCCATCCCAATCAAAATGGTGGCAGCGGTGTGCACATCTCCCTTTTCAAGCAATCGTTGAACAAATGCACGAGCAACCTTTGCTTGTGAAGCAGTCCCTCCAATACCACAGAGAGCGAGAAGCATCCAGTCGGAAGAGGTCATGGAGTCGGAGGTAGTTGCAGCAAGTACATCCGTATCAATATCCCCTAGCCATTTTGCCAGTAAAAGTCGGGGTGGGGACCCTACAGGGTGTCGATTTAATTCATCCTGAATCAACGTGTCAACCTCGCCATTCCAACCAAAAATTGTGCTAAGCATCTGTCGTCTGAGATCATTGACTGTGAGGTGGGTGTTGTCGAGAACTTGTGGATGACTATAAGGGATGTCGCTTAATCTAGACTTAGTAAACTTGAACAAATCCAATATGGGCCCTACTTCTTCCGGGCTGCGGAGAACTTCCTGCCGTAATCTGGAACCTCTTGGTCGAGATCTATGTGAGACGTGTGAAGAGGTAACGCTACTCATCGAGAAACTGTCACGGCTAGCCATTGAAGGGTCTCGGGTGTGAATGGAAGATCCCATAGACACGGTGGTGGCAGCTTCGCTATGCTTTCCACGAGATGTCACAGACTGTGGTTTGGCTTTACGATATTCACGATGACGGGGTCGAGATGCTGCTGAAGATTGAGAAGAGGCTCTGCTTCTAGAAGAGACAGGACTGAGGGTCTCAGAACGATCAGGCTCCTGCCTCTCCAATTCCAGCTTGTCCATCTCTCGAGCTATCCTTGCAAGTGGCGACATGTGGTCTTCTTCACTTTCAGAAATGTCAATATTGATCGGCATCGCCGATATTTCGGCTTGGGCCGCAGCCATAGAATTTTGTTGCTTCATTTGCTCCTCGATCGAAACTGGTGGTGACGGAGGAAGTAGATTGGCTGGATGCTGCACATTTGCCACCAACTGAGCTGGAATATTCAGATCAAATTGCTGAGCCGTATTGTTGGCACCCAATGTAAACAGAGTGGCACCAGGGCCATACACTGCCAGGCCTCGGACGGTTGCCAGTGTGGGTATTGGGTCAAATGTGACATGCTTGGTGCGTACATCCCACGAAGCGGTTTCGCTAAACAGGGGTCAAGTCAGCTATATGTCTTGCTAAGCGCGCGGCTTCGGTCACACCATTTGTGGAATGATATCACGTACCTTTCTGAATATTGAATGATTCGCCCATTTTTTGACCATGCCAGCCAATTGGGACCCGCTTGAAAGTTTTCTGATTTCTTCAGGACCCGTACCACCTTTGCGGCGTCGGTGCTGCTGGCTGATTTTGCAATACTCCATACACGAAGGTCCCCGTCATTTGTTTGGGTTGCTAGCATGTCCGATTTCTGTCGTGATGAGGATCCATGCCAGGCCAGTGTGACGATGGGAGATGGACCTCTGGATGTAGTCAGATTATGAAGAATTGTAAATCTTGGTTGTAAAGCTGCAATCATGAGCGATCCATTTGAAAATCTGTACAATATTAGCAAGAGGGTTGGAACATTAGTTCTCATTCGTACCCAATCGCGTAAGTTCTACAATCAGCAGCTGGTGCCAAAGCTGTCACTGGAATCTGGTCTATCGTTCTAGCTGAAATGTGCTCCGAGGTTGATGGCTCAAAAAGAATGACATTTCCTTGGGAATTTCCTGGACAAGTTAGTAACGCTGTTTGAGAGATACAGAAAAGAACATACCGAATGCAACGTTTCCATTTCGCATCCATGCTGCGACAGTGAGATTCTCATAAGATGCAAATCTTGCAATTTCATCGCCCGTCATACAATCCCAAACAATGGCGGTCTGTCCAACATCGCAACTTACTACTAATCTGCCTGCGCCTCTATCACTGACCGTATCAACAGCCAACAAAACAATCTCCTCGGCATGCCTTGAAAATCGCCTTTCGATGGTCAGAGTATCGTGGTGACAACAAACAACTGAGTTTCCCTGGGCATACAAAAACATGGAAGCCGTAGCAGCGCATGGATCGAAGTGGCGGGTGTGTTCTGCTGGCATGCTTTTACTGATTTCGGCCAACGTTGCTAATTTCCCCCTCGATGATTGTCCAGAGCTCATTGAGATGGAGCGATTCCTCGCCAATTGTCCGGCGGACATGGCGATGGTTAATTGATTCTTCTATCTGCAATAGGAAGGGCCAGAGAGTTAGTAGGACAACTACATGCGGATCCTGAATCCAATGGATGGGCACATGGCCTATATTGAAGTAATATGGTCGCCAGCATCGCCTTGGCCCGTATACATGTTTGTATACGGGACTTGAAGGGAACCACTCACCAATCTCGCGATACTATTGCCGCCCTGCCAGTTTTCGCGAGCCTGCAGTACAGGCAAAGGAATGCACGCCCAATTATTCTCACCTCGTCACATGGATATGCTAGCTGCCCGATTTCGGTGTAATGGGAAGATGGAGCGAGTCAACGGGACTGAGTTTCGTGGTACGATTGGCGACGGCTGCAATGCAAGCGCGTGCTTGTACCTGTGTACCGCGTGGGTTGAGGTGGTGGAAGAGGGTCAATGGATAAAGTATGGAGAGAAGAGAGACGTTGAACTGCAACCCGTGAGGATGGGCAGGAGGAGTAGCACGGGACTAGGTGGGAATAGCAGGACATCCAACAATGTGATTGTGGATGGACGTTTCTGTACAGCTAAGCTCCCGCGGGCGTCTGGGGGACCGGCGGGATGGAATTGCAGGCGAGGGGGATTATGCAGGTGTTGAGGTGCGTAGCGTATAGGCGCTTGAATTGGGGGCCAAGGGGGGCGAAAGGGGGGTTGTATGTCAAAGCAAATACACGCAGTCTCAATGCAAAAAAAAGAGAAATGGACGAAAGCAGGAGTCAGGTCGTCGCAGTGAGGCCATCCGGAGTATATCAGTCTATGGTCTACACTCGGCAGAGCTTGTTGCGGAGGTGGTGGAATAGAGAGGCCGGGGGTTTGCAGGGGGTTGAGGTGAAAAATACTGGGGCTTGAAGGACCAGGGGGATCGTCTGCAGCCAGATGCAGCAGAGAGAGCGCCTAAGGACGGTGGCGTGGATTGTCAGTGGATGGATCCGTGTGGTTGCGCAACTCCAGATATAGATTTGCAGGACCATCTGAGGCCAGTCGCGGCCTCGAAGCCGACTTTCATGGACCTGATGGGACCTCCTCCCTGGACGCCCAAATGCGACAGTATCCGCACCAGATCCGGCTCATCTTGATGCACCGAATTGCAGCAGCAGGAGCAGTGAGGCAGCCAGAGAAGCACTGCAGACCGCTTCCCTAATGCAGGTGGTGCCTGTCGCTGGCAGCCATACACAGCTTGGGAGTCAGGGCGAGAGGCCCTTCAGGTACCTGCCTGCCTTTGGGCAGGTGATTGCAGTCATCGTGATGAGACGCTGAGCTTCTCATACCAGTCATAACCAGCACAGGAACCCCGCGAAAAAGCGGGTGTCTTCTGTACGGCAACCTTATACGGTTATACAAGCTCTAGCGATGGCTGGTTGCACCCTCTACCTCTCCACACGCTGCTACACGCACTGTACGAGTACCACCATCATTACCACGACGGCCACCACGCTACCTCTGGGGTTCACCACTTGCAGTGAACCCTCGCCTCCAACGTGGCTGGAATCGTATGCATGGCAGGTCAACGCCGGTTCCATGAACTGCTTTGGAACCTGATTTCCCAGCATCAGAGAGTAGTCTGCTTCTGCATTCGTTCATGTCGTTCATCCAATTCCAGACCCAGGTCCGCACATCGCAATTGACAGCCTCACTACGCTTGCGCCAACCCTGACAATCGTGGCAAACCAGCACTCGGCATCTCCTAGCCATCTCCTCACTGGGCGCCCATTTGATATTGGACCGAAGTGTATATCACGAGGCCCGGTGGGGAGGGACGAAGATGAGCACCGAATGGCCGGTTCGGCGCAGTGGCAGTGATGCGGAATTTGCTGAACAGACGAATCGTTGAGCCAAGACGCCCTCTAGCGATCCATCAGGAACAAATGACTTGACCACTTGGTCTCCAGAGATCTCCAGAAGGCATTGAGAGGTCCAGAGTTACCGATACGTGCGAGGAGGTGGAGAGGAAGATAGACGTTAGCCGTTTGAGGGGCGTACGACGAGCTGAGCCATTCTAGGAGGGGCGAGGAGCAGACGTTGGGGGTTTCGAGAGCCTGTAGTTCCAGAAAGATGCGTGTTCTTCAGGGAGCGAGTTCCTGCTGCTACAGGCTGTTGGGTTCCATTGGGAATGCTTCTCTGCTTCGAATGCTGCTGTAGCTGTCGCTGTAGGTCACACGCTGGCAATGTGTACTGTACTTCACTGCTTGATGTCGTCGGCAGGGCTCGCTAGGTGCCGTTGTGGCCCACTCCAAAAAGAAGGCAACCAAGGAAGGTCAGCGAACATGGCCAAACAATGGGGGAGCGGGACGCACGGGGCCAGCACGGGCCTGCCTTGGCAAGAACAGGGGCTCGCCAGCGTCCTGTCGACACAAGGCACCTTAGCCTTCTCACTGGCTCCTCGCCCACTTCATCAAGCCTCTGATCATGCAGCAATATCACAACATCAACCACTCACATCCTCGCGCCGGGGGGACTGCTAGTAGTGTCCAGATGTCACTGAGACCGGGAAATCACAGGGCAGGAAAGCCACGATCTTCCAATTTCAGTGTGAGGGACAGACAGAGGTTCGCGCACCAGGACAATGGACAATGGACAATGGGGCACCCAGGGGACGTGAATACTACGGACAGTGATCCCTCATCACCCGCCGCCGGCGTCTACAAAGCCATCGTGAGTGGCAACACCGAGGGAGGAGTCATGGTGTTGATCTATTTTCCCCAAATACCCCGAGTCGTCCCACATCACGCCCAATTCCAATCCTGCTTTCCTACACCGTCTCTCTTAACTTTTCATCTCCACGCCGTCCTTGCCGCCGCCGTTGGGCACGTTCACACGTTCAGCCATATATCACATCACCAGATGGGAGATGCAGAACCACCCGTCGCGCGTCCAAGGAAAAGGGAACGGGAAACAACTTCCACGAACGACAGCAGCAAAAGTACGAAGTGAGGGGTTTGGGTTGGGGAAGGTCGTGGCGCGATGGCAATGCGATGAAATGTGCTCTTGTCCTTTTGTACTTCTCCTTCACACGGCCCGGTCAATAGTTCCTTTTCCACTCCTATATCACGATGCTTCCGCCCTGGTCAACTCATCGTTCTTTGATACCCGATATTGGAGTTGACAGCGAATGACGGTTGGACCGTTCCCCAAGCGGTGATGAACAGGACGCTGCCGACATATGTGATGTCCATCACAGGCCCTTTTCAGTTCTTCTCTCCACCTTGACAGACCGTAACACTCCCTTCCACAGCTCCAGTACTGCTTGGTCACGTTGAAGGTGGTGCCGAGTCCGCTCGGTGTCATTCCGGATTTGGACGAAGAAGCTCCCTATCGTTATCTCGAACCCTCCAGGGTCGTATTGACATTGGCATTGGCACAATTGACATGCAGGCACGTGCGACATCTCGGACGGATCACCAACAACCAACAGTCCAAGCTTCAAAAGACTCCCTCCCGCACTGGACTTCTGCACTTACTTCTCACAGCAGATCCGGATCCCACTCAATTGCTTCCTGCTGGTCAGACCAAAGGTCGCGGGGTAGACCCTATCGATTGTCGTTTCGGCGATCAGATAACAATATGTACTCCATTCAACAACATGTTGGGAGCTTGGGAGCTACCAGGAAATTTCTCCCAAATTTAATCTATCACTTCTACGCGAGCAATGCAACATTATATTAACTGACCACACCTTATTTACGCCTAGTTGAACCACTGGTTCTCGTACCTGCTTCAGCACACCCTCTTCTCCAACATTTGGATGAGGGGGGACTCGTTCGGGATCTCGTATGAGTGTTGCCCTTTTTTTTCTTGCTCCCCCCTGTTGTTCAACGTTACCTCTCATCTGTGGCTGCGAACCTTTTCGTCAATCAGAGCTACAACAGTTGTTCCGAAGCGCATTGCAGTAACAACTCATCCTCTTTTTTCCTCTTTCGTCAATTTGTTCACTCTGGAAACGTTTTGTTCCGAGAACGAGCAGCAAGCCAGAAGAAAAAAAAGGTTTAATCCTTGAACAATAATGAACATTCCATCCCAAGGTGTGATCAGGCACCCATTTTCTTTACCCAATTGCATGATTTCCAAGAAAAAGAAAATGGAATCAATATTCTCGAGAGGGGAAAGCAAAACCTTCAAGGAGAACTATCACAAGAGTAGAAATGATCTCGGGTTGTGATTGGTACGTTTCTCCCACCGAGCACTTTAACAGCGAAAACCGGAAGCTTCACAGCCTCCCATTGGCCCAGTATACGTTTTTTTTTTTTCTTTCTCTCCTCTTCCCCATCACCGTCTGTTTCCCCATCGATGGGGTTCTGTCTTTTTTGGGGGGTGTGCCCAGCCCTCTTTCTTGCATGTACCGGGGTTCCATTTAAGCGCCCACACTAGGGATTACTTCCCGTTGAGATTTCCATGGACCGTGCCATGCCTATCCGTTTCTGCCCCTCACCTCCTCCGTCCGGGGACCTTGTTGGCTCGACTATGATATTTACGGAGTCAATGGAGTAGATTGAAAAGGTTCTTTTCGCACTTCACATTTCACACTATGGGAATAATTCACAGATTTTGAGATTAATGAGGGGTGGATATAAGGGAGTATGATGGATGGATGGATGGATGGATGGATGTTTGATATTGATATGTGGTTTCCATTGATAAATTCCCCCTCCCCAAAATTACACACGAGTGTGACGTCTACGGACCAGGACCGGGACCAGCTCCTAATCCTTCCACATACTCCACAGGGTATAGGAATAGTTCAACCTCAAGTGAGGGAATAGAAAAGACCAACAAACGCCCTGAGTGAAAGGAATCTATCTCTTCTTTTTTCTCCGTGGAGAGATGTTTCGTCCTTCTGTCTTTCTTGATTCCCTTTTCTATCGAAATTCTTGTTTCTTGTTCCCTCCAGTCTCCCAAAAATGACACCTAAAGATGGCCAAAGAAAAGTCAGATGGAAATGGAAAGATTCGAGGAATGAAGAACATGATAGTGAAGAAGAACATGAGAATGAGACACCTTCGATGCAAATGAATAAATAAAAAACTAGATACAGGAAGTTGTAACAATAGCTAATAACTAGTAACTGGGTATCAATAAAAATGTGTTCAAGAACAGATAAAAACAAGGAATTTGAAAGGAAATTCGTCCTTCCCTCTCCCTCTCCCACTCCCGCGCTTCTTTGGATCCCTCCCTGATACACCAAATATAGACAGAGAAATCAAAATTGAAAAACCGGAGAAAAGAGGGAAGACTCCGAACTCCTTTCTTGTGTGTGTAAGTGTGTATCCCGGATATCAGCTCCCTCTCTTTCTGAAAATGTAATGTATATTCTTGAGATTTGGGATCGAGGGATGTTTTTTGCGGTGCGTTCCATCCTACTCAAGGCCTTTTGAAATGTGGAATTTCGTGGGTGGGGTTCGTGGGTTTCGTGGGTTTCGTGGGGGTGAGTCTTTGGAGATGATGTGATGTGTTCCTGGGGAGATGAAGATGCGATCTGGATCTAGATCTGGGGTTGGGTTTGGGGTTGGAGTGTTTAGGTTAGTGGGATGGATTGATGGGTTGTGGATTGTTGGGTGTGTTGGTGTGGTTTCCCTTTTTTCCTTTTTCTCGGTTTGTGTGGTGTGGCATGGTGGATTTGAGGGGGGTTGTGGGGATCGTGGATGTGGAGATCAGACCGATCAGATCAGATTATCGTAGTTTTGTTGTAGGTATATAGGTATGGTAGAATTCCAATTTCGGGTATCATATCTCATCTCTTTCTCCCCCCCCTCTCTCTCTTTCTCTTTCACTCACAAACACTACTCTCCAAAATCGTCCCCATCTTCCCTCCCATCTCCTTCCCGTCACTACTCTTCCTCCTCCCCTTCTTCTCCCCACCACTACCACCACTTCTCCTCCTACACCCTTCCCTTCCCTCTCTAGCCCTAGCAGCCTTCTCCGCCCTCACAACCTCCCTCATCAAACTCCCACTCTCAACCACATACCTCGGACTCGAAAGCGGCGTACTCTCCCTACTGTTTTCTCGAGAACTTGTGCTAGAACTAGCCGTTGACTCGGTAAATACGTCGGAGAATAACTCTTCGTCGGAGATTATGAAGGAGTGGTTGTAAAACGCTTCTTGAGGTGAGGATGTGGGGGAGTGTGAGGGAGAGGAGAGAGAGGAACGACGTGGCCAGGAGGGGTAGGCGGTGGTAGTTGTTTGGGTGCGGGTGTGGGAGGGGATTGTTAGGGGGGTGGACGTGGTGTAGGATGTGCGGGAGGGAGAGTTGGGGAAGTGCATTTTGAATAGATGGTGGTTTTTGTGGTTTGGTGGGTTGGTTGTATGTAAGTGTGTGTGTGTGTGTGTGTGGTTTTGGTAATGTGTGATTTTTGGTGGTGTATATCTTTCTTTCGTTGTGTGTGTGGATGGGATGTGTGTGTTGAAATGCGGGACTTGAAAAGCTTCAACTTTCCCAATCTTCCCAAAAAATTCCAAAGTAGAAAATCGTCTTGGTAGATTCCTCGAAACGTAAAGTAAGGCGTTGGAGAATATCGAAGGACCAGCCCACAAATAAGTACGCGCTCCGCTCGTAATTCCCAGTGTGAGCGAGCGTGTCAGTCACACTAAGCTAAAATTATGACTCTTACTCCTTCCTACACTGACACCTTCGTTTCCCCGAGGGATTTTTAGGTATGTAATCAGAAATAGGAGTAACAAGTGGTGTGGTAGCGTTGCCTTTCCTGGTGTGGGTGTGCGAATGCGAAAGTGATCTCTCGTAAGCGATCTAATCCGGGGGGTACACAGACACGGACGCCACGCCCTTGTGGTGATGTGATTGATGTGATGTACGATAGGTAGGTAATCGGTATGTACGGTTTGATGGATGATATATGAGTTCTTTACTCAGCGTCTTGGAATAGAATGTGTGTGTGTGTGTGTGTGTGTGTTTCGATTTCTCTTTCTTGAGTTGTTGTTGGGGTTTGTGAGGATGTGAGGTGTGTAGGGTGTGTATGAGGTGTGTTGAGGTGAGAGATGTTGTGGGTCGGGTGGTGGGAAATATATCTTTCTCCTCTCTCGTTGCTGTATTTCTTTGCGTTCGCTGTGTATTAAGGGTCTTCTTATTTTTTCGATGGTGGTGGGACGATGATAGTTGGGACGAGATAATATGTCGAGTAACGTAGGGAGCGAAATTTCTAATTTCAAAAACGAGACGAAGACGGGTTGGGCTGAATTATGTATGTACGTATGTATGATTTATTTTCTCGCCTGTGTGCTTGTGTTCTGGGGAAAGTATAGTACGTGTGTGTGTGCAAGGGGGGGATACCCATACCCCTTATTAATTGAGGATTTGGGTCTTTTTTTGACTTTCCGATGTGTGTGACATGTTCAGGTGTCTGAATCATATATCCTATCCATGTATGTATGTGAGAAGGGATGCTGTGACCACAGACCGCCAGCAGGCACACCACACCACACCGTATCGCAAAGATGCTTGAACCCTTCTTCTCTTTTTTTTTTTACTTTTCCGTAACCGTGGGGGATGGGAGACCATCAGAGTCAAGAGAGCTTTTCATCCAATACCGTAGCATCTAAAAATCCCGTATTTTTTTCTTCTGTCGGAATACCTGCCATATGCCGTCCACGTCGCAAAAAGGAAAAAGGATATGATAAAGCTACTGTCCGGTCGGCCGGTCGGCTACTGACCTGACCGCCTGTATGTAGGTTTACGAGTACTACACTTCCCATTCCGTCGGTCTGGCATTCTCACCCCAATCTATTGGTGGGGTCCCGACCGACTTTCTTAGCCCCGATGATAGAGGGGGGTAGGGGTCATTGTTACCCCCATCTTTCCAGCTTACCTCACATACTACTGCACTTACACAGGTTGCTTTTTTTCACCGCTGTCTCGTGTTTCGGACCAATCATCATCCAGAGAATCACCACATTTGCGGTGAATAATATAGCGTTCTTTTTTGCTTGACGACATTTATGGAGTGGAGGGTTGCCGATTAGATAGTGTGGTGGGGGGATTTGGGATAAGAGTTTACGGAACGGGTTGAACCCCGCGGGGCTTGCGAAGCCGGATGTTAGGGCCCGTCGATCGGGGAGGGGAAGGGGTTTGAGATTTTCTTGTTTCCTTATTTATTTATTTTGGATATATATTTTTACGGTACTCGGACGGTTAAGGGAAAAAGATGTGTTGTGTGCGTTGACTAGTCGAAGTAGTTTACAAGCAAACAACAACTCTTTGGCTCAGACTAGATAGGAAAGATTTATTTCTGGATATATCTCCGTTTCCTCCGCCAATACTGATAAGTCAGAATGCGGAAATACTCTGATTTCCACCCGCTCGTATCGGATGATTCAGATAAGTTCCGTACTGTAGTATTTTTGCCTCCTGTCTTAGGATCGGATACGGTACTGGTGTATGGGGTATGGGGATGCCCTGTGCCGGCTGAGTGAGCAGAAGCAGCGCAGGACTTCAGGCTGGATCGTCTCGTGTTTTGAGGGGAGGCGAATGAGGCGAGGCGAGAGTGGAGGCGTCCACTACTATGCGATGAGTAAGTCTAGACTTGGAGCTGTTTGTATCTTATTTATGCTATCGACCGGCCCATGAATTTCATACGAGCTTTTCTCGGCCATGAACTGAGGCCCTTGGGTAGATTTTCTTGATTTTTGGGTGCTGGATGCTTGTTTTTTGTGATAGGTTCGTATCATGTTTTTGCCACCAACACCACCATACACAAAAGAAAGAGGTGCGAGGATTTTTGAGTTGAATTACGATACACTCCAGGCTCCAGTCTGCTCTGCCTTTGAGTTATTCCAAAATCCGAAGTAAAGTAAAACCCTCTTCTGATATTTGAAATTCAAGTTTACTTACAGCCCCTTCGCCAAAGTGACTAGATTCTAGGGTATGTTAGTAGGTAGTGTACTGCACGTTATTTAACAAGGTATTTTGTATACGAATTGCCTATTCCCACAGTTTCTAGGGTCGCGAAACATCTAGCTACTTTTGCGAAGGGGCTGTATACTTGTCTACCTACTCATGAGTAGGTCACAACTTCCCAAACAGGACCAAACAAACCCCCCTTCATCCCAACTTACTCGAGTAACCTCCCCTCCCCTCCTCAGATCCCTACAGTAGCAAACCCTACCCCGAAAAGTATGTTTGCTCAAACCACACATACCGAGAAATGTCCACACCCACATAGCAGTGTCAGACCGTTTTGTTTTTGCACGAAGTTCGTTTGAAAATGTACACTGTCAGTCCAGAGATCTGTCCGCGTCCTGTCGGGCCTGCTACCGGTAGTTTCAGACTCGGGAGCGTCTCCCGGGATGGGATTTTGCGTTTCTCCTCTGGCATTTTGCATTTCTTTTTGCAGGTGCATTTTCGACATGTGATGAGATCGTGGGTGTCGTTCGGGAACTCGACAGATCGACCACCGTTAAAGGCTACTACTACTCGAGTACTAGTAGTTAGAGATGAGTTGAAACATGGCGTTAGCCTTCGCCAACTCTTTTTCCTGTTACTACCAAAATCTTGCTTTTACTGTACTTACCATTTACCCCACGGAATTCCATGCGTTTGGGGACTGACTTACTCGTGACCTTCGGTCTAGATTTCTCATCTCTTCCCCAGGGCGTTTTTTATGACGAGATGGCAAACAAGAGGCGTTTCTTGCTAGAAAGCGACGGGACCGACGAGACTCGTCACTTCGATGTTGAAATAGGACAGGGGAACTGAAACATGGACATTGGATACTGTGTCGAGATTTACTTTTCGGGAAGGAGACATTTCCCCGCGATGTTCTTTTAAAGTCCTGTACAGTACACGGGATGAGATGGAATCTGGATCAGCTACTACTGTATTTCGATATTCAAGGCGTAAAAAACAACGCTCAAAAATGAATTACGAAATGACAGGAATATGGCTCAGTATTAGTTACTGTTTGAGGTGTTTACTACACTACGAATACCCCGCAGAAGTCCCGCTTCCGTATGATAGATCTCAAGGAAAGGGATGAGGTACCTCGGACATCTTACAGTACCTTTTCTGTACCACATCCCATTACATGTTGTAAATTAACTTGGGAAATTGCGACAGGTAAAAACCTCTCCTTTCCGTGTCTCAATAAATCAGTCTCGATTTACAAAGCCCTCTTGACGTGTATCCCCATCAAGCGGAAGCAGATTTGCGCCCAACCCTTTCTCTCTTACAAAAAGGTCGCATACATCTATCCCTCCTTCCCACACACCTCAGAACCTGCAACTTCCCAAATTCTTCCACTCCGTGAAAAAAGATAGGTCCGCATCCCAATCCCATCCCCCTTCCACAAAGCCAGCCAGCCAGCCAACTCGCCATAAGAAAAAGAGCAACCCAACGTAACACCCCTCAAATCCTGCACATGCACCCTCCCAACGCCCCCTTCACAGTAAAAAGGTAATTACATATAAACGACAACGCATGCACGCCCAATAACACCACAAAGGACACCAGACCAGACAGCAAAGCAAAGTAGCAGAGAGAACAAATGTTCGCATATCCGCTGCCTGCATAGCTGGAGTCGTACCATTGTGCGTCCCGTTGGGTTCGCACATATATGAGGGATATGGTCCAGGCGGGAATGCAGCGCTTCTCAACCCGACTGGATGCTACGTAGATTACGGATGCGGATGTGGATTCCATATTTCGTACTGTAGCCCCTTGTTCCCGCTGGTGTGGGAGGATTGGCGTCCGAAATCTGAATCTTGATCGATTGCTTCTCCAGTAAGGCTTTCTAGTTGTGAGTTTGCGATCGTGAACTTATTGGCAGCGGGAGGACATGGAGGCTCCCGTCGGGGTGGAAAGGGGGAAAGTCATGTGTTTTTCCTTTCACGTGCAGAGCGGCTGGTGCTTACACCCGTCGAGGATCTGACTTGTCTTGTACCCTTACGAGTCCTCAAAATACAAAGGATGGGATGTCAGACTTATATCAGTAACGCGGGGGCGGGGATTTCGGTACGTGATTTACCGGAGGACGAAGGAATACATCCTAACGATACATGTGGGATAAGCCTCCCCCTGCGGGTGACAGGTTTCAAATTACGAAATCCTTTCTTCGCGTGACTGTAAGGGGTGTTTTTCGTGAAATGATGGTTGACGTGGCTGGGGGTTTGAAGATGATTAAGGGTGTATGGGGTGTGGGTGCCTGAGTTGTTTGTGGTTTTGTGTATCCAAGGGGTACTTGTAAGTGACGTTGTATAAGCGAGAGGGGTGCTAGAGAGTGCAAGCAAACGTTGGTATGTATCGCTTAATGGAAGGAGTGAAGACACTAGTAACACGATAAATGTAAAGAAGAACGCGAGAAATAGGCAAGACAGCAAGTATTGAGTCAAGGCCTTGTTTTCAAATCTTTTTGGCAAGCTTATGACAGCAATCCGAATAAATATAGATTTTAGGGTATCAATGTGAATTTTGTAAGACCAACGACTTGACAAGAAGCTCAAGAAGATGTGAATCATATTTCTCATCCTTCAAGAAACTCCTGCTGAACACACAGCTTTGAACGCCACAGTTTCTAAGCTGCATTCTCCATTGTCGCCTCCTTAACCTCAACTTTCTCCTCCTTCAACTCCTCATCTTTCACCTCATGCACTCGATTTAGAACAGCCACACCTTCAACATGTCCGGTCTGAGGGAAAAAGTCAAACCCTCTCAAAGTCTCAATTTCATATCTAGTCTTGACACTCGAGATTCCCCGAACTAGTACGCCAACATCCCTAGCCTGTGTATGCACATTGCAACTCACATAAACCACTCTTCTGGGTGCAAATTTCAAAAGCTGGTTGAGGAAACTCTCGTCGCATCCTTTTCGTGGTGGGTCCAGAATGACAACAGTCTCATCATTGGGATACTCGACAGATTTGAAAAGTTGTGGAGCATCCGCTGCTATGAATGTGCATTGTGAAGGCGGAAGTTTATTGAGAGCAGCGTTTTCTCTTGCGGATATGATTGATGACTCTGCGATATCAATTCCAACTGACTTTGTGAAAAGTGAGGAGAGGGTGATTGTAAAGAGACCTGACCCAGAGTAGGCATCGATGAAATATTTTATTGCAGGGGCATTTGGATTTGCTGGTGGTAGAATCTGATCTCGGATGTATTGAGTAAATACTGGAAGGATGGAATTGTTGTTCTGGAAAAAAGCTCCGGCAGTGTTGGTAAAGACGAAATCGTCAATATATTCAGTTGATTTGGCGTTGTTGTCAGTGATACAAGTCTTAAAATCGGTATAATTTGTTCCCTCGACTTTAATGGTATCTTCAGGTAAATCGACTGCCTTTTTGTCATCCTTTGGTACCCGCTCTGTACTTTCCCGCAGTAAAATGGTGACCCCCTTTCTATACTTTTCCAAATTCTTGGCAACATTAAGCCTCTCCCTCTTCATTCCCATGTTGACAGCATCCGTACCAATAGGACAATCCTCAATATCCAGAGTTTTGCGTTGACCTTTCAGCATGAATCCAATATTTGGCACCTCTTTAAATTGAGGGCGAACACCCTCTCTTTTGGCAGCTCTCGTATTGTGTCCTGGAGGCCCATCAAAATGCGGGGTAAGTTTTGTTCGATACCCATACTGTAGAGGGCTACCAATTGTATTTTCGATGACTGGCACAAGTCCCGGAGGTAATTGCGAGAAGTTCTTGTAGGCCTTCTCGACGATCGTCCTTTTGTGTGCCAATTGAGCATCGTAATCCATCATCTGGAACTGACACCCTGAGCATTTGCTGAAGTATTTGCAATTGATCCGACTGTCGTCTCGGAATGGACCTGGAGTAACCACAGATACAAAGTCACAAATGGAGTAGTGTTCCCTTTCGAAGCGTCTGATAACCTTGATTTTGACCACATCCCCAGGCGAGGTGAAGGGTACCACATATATCTGGTTTGAACCATCTTGTTTCGCGAGCCCATCGCCAGTCGAGGAAAGCTCCAAAACCTTGACCTCTATTTCAGTAAATGGTGCTGGCAATGGTTGGTCCTCAGCTCCAGCGACTGCCCCCTCAGACTCCCCATTTTCTGCTGGTATTTCGATCTCCGTTGTATTCGCATCTGCAGCTGCAGGAAGGGATTCGGCAGAATTAATTGCTGGTGTGGAGAGTTTCTGAACCGCAAACAAGGCACGCACATCCGCAAGAAGCACCTCCTCATGCCCGCCCTCTGTCGCCGGCTTCTCTTTTCGAGTTTTCTGTCGTTTCGAACCTCGTCCTCCCTGGCTCGGCCGTTTTCTATCCTGACCTCGAGGCTGTTCAGAATCCATCGCTACAAATTTGAAGCGCTGTCTAAGCGGCGCGAAGGTAGGGATCGAGAAACGCGGTTGATGGGATATCGATTGAAGAAGTCGTCGTGAGCACTTTAGCATTGGGATTTTGAAGAATGGTAGAGAAGACGAAGGGAGGGGTGACGACAATTGAAAGGAAGTATTATGACATAATATTTCAGAAGTCAGACGTCGAACATAATAAATTCACTGAGTCTTCCTGAACTTTTTTTGCGCTAAACTTGCGCTTGCCCACGCCCGCTCTGTGACAGCGACAGGGGTCACTTGGGCGGTACTCGAGTAACGATTCATCTGCCCCGCATTTCTCACCTCCCCTGAACTTCGTCAACCACTCTCGGCTATTCCAGTATTTTATTGAGCTTTAATGAACGTAAACAAGTGTTCGCATATAAGTAGGCGCGATGCCATATTGACGGAGACATGTATTTCTGTCGCAGAGAAAAAAATATCCAGTTCGAAATTCCACGGATCTTTGTTAGCTCGCGTCCTAACTTTATCCGCCGCGCAACTGTCAACTCGGATTAGTAGTCCTATCCATGGGATGGCCGAGAGAGACGTAGACCAGCTCTTTCCACGCTGTATGTGTCTGGTATGTATGTATGGCGATAAGCGTGGTTTGATTGAATCACTAGTCGCAACTTCCCTCGTTAAGGAATAGATCAAAACACCAATCTTGTCCCGGAGTCCTTTTTCAAAACACCATTCCTCCTTCGTAAAGATCCTCAAAGTGTCCACATCTTTCGATTTGGTTGTTTTTCCCCTGTTATTTTTGTTGGACAGCAACCACAGACACAGCGAAAATGGCCAGCCAATGGTTCAAATTCCTCTTCAGCAATGAAGCCCACCCTTTAAAGCCTCTTCTTCCACTGGAATCCCTCTTTGCCGACTGCTCGTTTGTACATTATCAAGTCATGTTGATAAGCAATCTTCTTATGCCACACAATGACAAGAGGGACATCGAATCCTACCCCAAACTTGTTCTTTTAACCACGTTCCTAAATTCTCTCCTCATTATATTTTCGGCACTTCGTCTTTATCAACCCGCAGCCGCTGGGTCTCTTTTAGAGATATTCCATACGATTCAAGAGATCCTTCTGATCATGAATATTGAAATCAATGCCCAGAGCTTAAGTACCTCATCATTTCGGATGGAGGGTTGGTCCTGGAACAGCCTCTTTTTCACGCTAATATTGATAATGTCCTGTTGGCTTTTGTAAGTTCGTATCGGCAACTTCATGGTTAACACTTGCTGACCTTCTCCTCAGCTTAACACATCTGATACGCGTGTTCCGAAAAACAATAGCTTTCTTTCACTGGGACCCGTTTTCAATTTCGAGGATAATGGGAGGGGGAGAGCCAGAGTATGATACAGAAAGGCTATTGTACTTCATGGTGTTGGCCTTAACGATTGTATTGTCCGTATTCAATGTGTTAACATATTGCCTCTTCCTCAAAGTCGACGAGTCAGCCGGTGTCAATGAGTCCTTTGGTTCCGTCGAAAAGCAAGTCGCCTTTTACGCTACCATGTTCTTGGTCAGTGCATCTTTCACGAGTTACGTTTTGAGTCTCTTCTTACAAGATTATAGAGAAGTTTAGTTGGTTCCTGGTTTTTGCTGAATGTAGCATTTCGCATCTTTGCTTCCCAACACATTTCGCATCTTTGCTTCCCAACACATTTCGCAACGTTATCCATCACGAAGCCAATTCTGCTCAATCTGCGACCTCATAGCATGTCTCCTGATGTTTGTTGTCGCGGCAATATTCTCAATTCCCTTGTGGCATATGGATATCAAATTCGTCATTCATGGTGATCTATCATGGGACCAAGCCGCGTTGTGGGGCAGACAGTCCATTGCCGTCTCTGGCAGTTTGTTCATCGGGTATAACCACTTGTGCCTTTTACCTCTGTGACACATCTTGTACTAACGAAGTTACAGAATGGCGTTCTTGGTTATACGACAAAGTCGAGCCAGGAAACGCTTCGAGGAGTTCATGAGGTCCGTCACAGGCGTTGTCAATACCATTAACTGCCCCATCATGATGGACATCTTACGCGAGGTAGAGTGGACCGACGGCGAGATAATGACTCTATTTGGACTGCCTGGTTTGGATGAACATGGACTAGCCAACCTGGTATCATTACTCTACCATATACGAGAAGAGGTCTCGAGTGACTCTTCAGTCATTCCTAGACCTCAGCCCATCATCACTAGAACCCAAAAAGGTGTGGTGGATGATAGCGAGTCTTGCAGTGATAACGTATGTCCCTCTGTCCGAGGGGCTGATCTTGAGCTGGGGTCGAGAAGTGTTTAGTGTTTTGATTGGTTCTATGTTATACTTGAGCTTTTACCACAGCGTTATAGAAAGGGCTATGGGGATTTCTCATTGTTATTTTCAGAGTGATACCCTTGCACCTTACTGACTATAATGTCTTTGCGTAGCGCGAGTCTTTGTCTAGTTACTTGAGTTACTTGAAGGTGTGACGAAAACCTCTAGGGATCGTGGGTGTGGGTGTGTGGCTAGTTTTTGGGGAGCGGGCACGGATCAAATTTAAAATTCCTTATTTCTATAGAGACTTTTAGACTGCTTCCGGTACGGATGTGACTTGAGACAAACTCCTCTTTTGCTGACACTATTCGTCTTTGGCTTTGACCCCTGTTGACGATGGGAATTGTACGTATTAGTCTACATGCAGGCACCTGACAAAAAGGGGACATGGGAGAACTTCTTCCTCTTGAGAGAGATGGTAGGAAGCAGAGGAAAGCTGAAAGGGGTTTGATAGTCTGCTCATATATTGGCCCCTTAGCTGTGATTGAAAACACCTTTTTGTGCCGTGTGCCTAGGCAGATTCTGTCGGAAGACGAGTAGAACTTGGGTTTAGGTCTTGCGGCCTATATTGGTTTTACTAGGGCCTTATGTAGTACTTGCTCATCGAGGAAGCACTGATGCAGAGGGTTTGCATACATGAATTTGCTAATGATGGAGAAGGATTCAGGAAAATTCCAAAGTGGCGGAATGTGTAGAATTGTCAATATATGTATAGGTATTTGTATATAGACCAGTCTTTCCTTTTATTCTTAACCGCGATTATAATGTGCTTTTGCCACCTTGGAGACATTGAAAGGTCATCGAACCCTATCTTCACAGCGTCAGTTTCAGTTCCATTTAACTACCCAAAACCACACGAACCTCCCGGATCCGTGAAGGGAAAGTCTTATCCTGGACTTTGTTCGTAAAAGGGGTGAGGATAAAGATGAAGGTAACTTACATTTAAACACCCGACTGGGGGCATTCCGGTACTTACGTGGTATTGGCATTGCGAGGGCGAGGCTCGTGAGGAGGAGGAGAAGCGTGAGGTATTTCATGTTCACCACGTGGTGGGTGGAGTGTGAGGGGATTCCTTTTGAAGCGTCGATTTGGCCGTCTTTTGAAGGCTTGGGATTCATGGGAAAGAGTGGGTTGAGGGGATGGAGGGGCTTATTTGTGAAGCTTGGAAGTTTGGGGTGTGTTGGGTGCATTTTGTGGTGCATTGGATGGGTATGTGGAAGGATGGAAGGATGTTGATAGGTTATAGAGTTGGTATTTGAGTAGAACTGCCTTCCCACGTTATGTAAACGTCATCGTGATCTTTATGAACTTGCGGCCGGATGGTCATTTCGCCATACGGGGTTTAGTGCATGAAGATGTTGAAAAGGATTTCTATTTAGGGGGTGAGAGGGAAGTTGATTGCGTTACGAGTATATTACTTCGTGGATGCGGGTTAAAGGCGTGCCAAGGAGTCTGATGGTATGGTTGGTGCGATACCAGTAGCGGCTTGTATTTAGTCTAAGGGAATTTCACTATGAATACTTGGATGTGAGTGCTCCAATGCTCTTGAACAATAAAGGTTCCGTAATGAAAAGTGGATCCTAGAATGCTCAATACAGTATATGGATCTCATTCTGTTATACTGAATCTCAAGTTGAATCTTTGGGTTTGGATGCTTTTTTTTGTACATGAAGTTGTCGCTACAAAGATATCTTTGTTTCTGCTCCCAGATAATGAGCGAGATTGGGATACCCTCATGACGAGTTTCTACTATTTTGATTTGTTCTTTTAAGTCTTCTGGCATAAGTGAATTTATTCTCTAATTTACACGAAGCAAGAAAAGTGGAAGTGTTCTTCACTACTCTTATACTCCCAATCTTACGACCCTTCAGCTGCAGGCGCTATTTCGGTATTAGACTAGCAAATAAAGGGGAACAGACAAAAATTAGTTAGATGTGTTATTTGTAATATATTCAAGGTTCTATATTACCAGATAAGAATAGAGTAGCCATTGAATTTAGTTAAGGGTGGGGATTAGTGGGTGTGGGTGTGGGTGTGGGTGTGGGAGAAGACATAGTAAAAAGATGTAGAAAGAGAAGTGTGTTTTTGGTATTTATCTAGGTTCTAAATCACCTGGGTGATGAAAGGGGCATAAATGTTAATCAACCGACATTGCTCGCATGATTATTATAATTACACAAGTCTTTCTGTAAGTTGTTCTCAAGAAGGTTATACAAAGCAACGACCTAGTTTCTTTCGTATTAGAATTTATCTGTGTATTTTGGGAGAACTTGATTGTCAGGTATGCCATTTGACTGATCGTGTTCAGCCCTTGGATATGATCATAAAGACAGGACGACCTCTTCCATATTACCATGCCACAGGAGCAGTAAGGATCTGAGTGACTTGAAGGCTTCTTATTTCAAGGACAAGAACAAGTAGTTTTGAATCGCAGTTTACTTTAGCATCGACCTCTGTGAAAATTTGGATGCATTTATTCTTCTTATCAATAAAGAGGGTAATCTGGCTTGAATATTTGTACCTAGTAACAGACTACAGAGCACACCATTCACGAAGCGTAAACGTAAACAGTCACTTCATTCAACCTCACAAATGAACAGAAAACTCAATGAGACTTCGCCTCTATTCTCTTTTTATTTGGAATTTCAATACAAAGTCCAGCGTGGGAACAACTTAATCAACTAATCAATCAATACTCTGAATTATTCAGATTTGATTTGATTTGATTAACAGGTCTAGTTAATTTGATCTAATTAACCGATTTGTTAATCAGATTATTGTGAGGGTACAGACGTGGAGGAAGCGATGTGGCCCGTGCCCTTGGAACTGTAAATAGCCTCAGATCTTACGATCACTTCCACTCTTTGTAGACAATTTAGTTCTTACACATACAGTTGACCTTGTCGCTATCGCACCCTTACAGTGACTTAGGCTGCAAATGGATGAGGGCATGCCGTCAATCACCCTCATCACATGTACTTAGTCTTCATGCACTTTTGTACTTTTCGGATCCGGCAATTGCCCTGTATTGATATGTGAGAGGCCAGACCTCGAATCACTCAAAGGTGTGGTTCCAAATATTCAATTAAGAAGTCACTTAGCAAAACTTGAACCTATATAATATGAGTAACACTATAGAGTTGACCCGAGTACTTGCTTACCCGGACAAAGTGTATATAGTCAAGCTTTAACAGTAAGCGTTTTAGGAGAGATATCGAAAAGGAGAGGCTTTCGTATCTGTTCTGGAGACACTTGAACAATTGCTAGGCTGTTTGTATTTGACATAGATCGACATGGTCGAAAGTAGGAAGCTCGTTGCCGTTAAGACAAAACAGTAGCCGGTGCTGGTAGGCAATAGCCAAAATGTGCATCGATATACGGTGAAATTGATGTGCTAGTCTTCCTGTCGATGTCTAACAATAACGCCCAGATGAATAAGTAATGCTTTACAAGATAAAGTTACCCAATAGAATCCAAACGCCAGGATAGCAATACCAAACTGAAGATTTCGGGTGATATTGAGGGTTTTAGTAGACCGACTATGTGAAATCAAAGCTTCTATGACAGATTTGTTTCCTTCAATCCGAGCTTTGTCCAAGGGTTGAAATTGATGTGCTAGTCTTCCTGTCGATGTCTAACAATAACGCCCAGATGAATAAGTAATGCTTTACAAGATAAAGTTACCCAATAGAATCCAAATGCCAGGATAGCAATACCAAACTGAGGATTTCGGGTGATGTTGAGGGTTTTAGTAGACCGACTATGTGGAATCAAAGCTTCTATGACAGATTTGTTTCCTTCAATCCGAGCTTTCTCCAAGGGTGACATTCCATAATTATCTGGAATGTCAGGATCAGCGTTCCGACTTAATAGCCACTCAACAGCATTGCGATCTCCACGAGCTGAGGACTGCCAATGCGCTGATCTACCTTCGAGATCCTGAGGATTGATATCCACTGTTCCTGATTCAAAGAGTTTGTCTAAGACAGAAATATGGCCTGATCGTGCAGCTAGCCAAAGCGGGGTTCGACCAGCGAAATCTGTTATATTAAGCTCGGCATTGCTTTTCGCTAACAACAAAGCAACAATTGAAAGGTTTCCTTGACCCGCTGCAGTATGCAAAGCATACAAGTGCAAGCCACCAGGGACGTCGGGTTTCATGCCACTCTCAAGTGCTGAAGCAACTGCGGAGTCGCGACCTTCTTGGACATCGGAATGAAAAGATTTTATCTTAGCCGCACTTCCGAGTAAGATTGTTATAATCTCTTGAGTGCCGGGAGCCTGCAAGCGATGGTCCTCAGCGAAGTTGGGATGAAGATAATTTAAGTCTGCGTTCTGGAGGAGCAGCTGCACAATTGCTTGATGGCCCCCAAATGCTGCAGCTTGGAGAGCGTTGTCATACCGCCCGACATACCGCCCGCCTTGAGCGTTGACATTCGCTTGGTTGTCGAGGAGCAGCTGCACAATTGCTTGATGGTCCCCAAATGCTGCAGCTTGGAGAGCGTTGCCATACCGCCCGCCATACCGCCCGCCTTGAGCGTTGACATTCGCTTGGTTGTCGAGGAGCAGCTGCACAATTGCTTGATGGCCCTCATGTGCTGCAGCTTGGAGAGTATTGCCATACTCCCCGCCTTGAGCGTTGACATTCGCTTGGTTGTCGAGGAGCAGCTGCACAATTGCTTGATGGCCCCAATCTGCTGCAGCTTGGAGAGCGTTCCCATAATCCCCGCCTTGAGCGTTGACATTCGCTTGGTTGTCGAGGAGCAGCTGCACAATTGCTTGATGGCCCCCAACTGCTGCAGCTTGGAGAGCGTTGTCATACTGCCCGCCTTGAGCGTTGACATTCGCTTGGTTGCCAGTCGGTCCAGTCTGCCTGTTGACATTTGCACCTTCATTAACTAGCATCTGAGCTACCTCTTCATGTCCATTAGCTGCTGCTCGCTCGATTGCTGTACACTTGCCGTGATTTTCTGCTTCAAAATCCGCGCCTATATCGAGTAGAGCTTTGACAATATTTATATGCCCCCAACGACATGTATGGTGCAGAGCCCGGTTTCCTGAGCCATCAATTTGCTCAATATCGGGATTTTTCAAGAGTATACCCCTTACAACACTTAATAGACCAGCGGAAGAGGCAATATGGAGCAAGGTGGAATCATTCTCAGGCCGGCGTTCAGAAGAACTATATCTATCAAGCATTCGATAGTATCTTACCTGTGAGAGGCCAGACCTCGAACAACTCAAAGGTGTGGGTTCAATATTCAATTAAGAACTACGTGGTCTGTAAATACATGTTCCTCCTCTACTCTTATACTAAATGTAGCATTTCCATTGCATTCAACACTGTTCCATAGTATTACCAATCTTCTGCGTCATAGCATTCTATCTTATTCCATGGCGTTCCAGAGGCGGGGTCGCTTAGCTTAGCGAGGGCTCTAGGCCCGAGCCCCACTATGGGTTCTAACCCTCACATTACCCAACGCTTTATTAGCTCTGGATAGCATTGGTTGTAACGTAGGAGGTAATCTTGTGAAATCCCTCGTCTCTCGGCTTTTTCAGCATGTAAGAACCAAGATTTTGTAGCATAATCTACGAAAGGAAGTCGACCTTTTGTAGACTCAGCATCGATCGACGACTTGTCTATTTCACTCACTTTCATGTAGTTTCCACAAATAAGCGACAACTGATAGTGACCTTGTTCGATCAGGTCTTGAGAATCCAGCTCGTCGAGCAATTGGAGCCCATCTCGTAAAATAAAATCATTCACAGATTGGTGAATAAACTGTATTATCTGATTCTTCTCATGCTGCCTAAGCTCAATAAGGCCTCCGGATAGGCT